CCTGGTTAAGACAATCCGAAAAATAATAATAACTGGACCAGATACCCTTTAGCATTAATCATTCAGTGTAATTTTATTTTACTGCTCTTGGAATTACTCACTAAACCGCCATCTGTCTGTATGTAGTATATATTCGGATCTTTCCCTCGTTTTGCTGTAATTTAGTGCTGGGCCTGCTGGCAACCAATAAAACATGCAGTAAGCATTCATGCATACAGTGGCACTGACTATACCGAATAACGCAGCGAAAAATTTTTGCATGGAAAATTGTTTCTACAGTAAAATTAATACGTGCTTCTATAAATAACTGTTAATATTCTTACATGTAACGATGATGTAGTGATGTACAAATTACGAGTACTACTGTACACTGCGTGCACTACGCCTAAACCGACACACACAAAGATTATTTTAAGAATACGAATCACGTGCCTCCGGTCTTGATCGGTACTTACCTCTAGACCACATGCCGATACCAGCACCAGCTGGTGGCAGCTTACAATTTCCGGCGCTGCGTTTCCTTCCTTTGTATCTGTAAAGGGGAAGGCAGATTTCGCAAACTGGCAAGGGCATGATTTTTTTGTTAAACTACAAGCTCGCTACAAATATTTTAAACTACATTTAATTTGGAAAATGCACCACTCATGAAGAAAGATGTAGTGGCATTAAAAATCCTACCAAGTATACTCGTATCAAGCACATAAATAACTGATGAAAATTGGTTAGTTTCTTCTCTCAAAGCACATTCACGAGGCCTATCTCGTATACAAAATTTCTGCCACGATATACTGTACCATGTAAATAAAAACATTTTAGTCACTGGCACACTGCTTGTCACTTCCACAACGGCACACCTTCTAATTTAAGCGAGCACAATAATACATAAACAGGCGGGCTGTTTAACTTGCGTCATGCAGTCCCCATTTCGAGCCAATCACGAAACCAGGTGGATGTTCCGTGTACAACAGAAGCTGGAAACCATAATCGTGAGCCTTTATTGCTATTGCATCCAGTCTGCGATGCTGGTGTTGTCCAGCTAGTGCGAAGGGGTTCATCACACCATGGCACATTTTTCCTTCCTTTTATTTATATCTCTGCATCACGCAAGTCAGCTGCACTGTCAGCATATAGAAACCAACATTAGAGAAACCTTTTCCGCTACACATTGATTATCACACCAAAAGTACCATTACAAAATATTGCGAAAAGACCGCTAACACCGCCATGGCCCCTCGGCTTACATTCTTGTCCTTGTTATATACAGTTGTAATTAACCTCACGCCGGAAGAGCCGGATCTGACGCCGGAAGAGGCTAGCCTGCCAAATGCAGGGCATTTGATGTGGTTCAACAGAAGCCGACTGTTTTCGCGTTTTTAACGTTTCCATACGGCTTTACGTTCTCTAATAAGCGAAAAAATGCACGATGTCACAGTTGGGAATAGCGAACGAAACTTCGAAGTACTCTTTGCTCCAGCCGGGACAGGTAGCAGCGGTAGCCAGAATCGCGTCGATTCCGGGTTGTAGTACCATTCGGTAGTTCAAGTCAACAGTCGACAAAATGCAACTGGACTTTCAAATTTTTAATAGCCACTTAGCCATTATCTTTGGTTATAGTTCAGACTTCAGATGAACACTACAAAGTACAAACAATAATAAGCAACAAAAAATCGCAGACCGATCCGTTCCTGTCTACTAACGGTTTGTCTTCGACTTTCGCAAGCCGCAGCACGCAAAATAGATTTTTTGCTTATCCCAAAGTCACAAACAGGAACCCGTACATCGCTTCGCTGTGGCGGTCGTAAAATACATAAAACTAATTTGTTGCAGCCAGCATTACAGTAATGCCGTTAAGATTGATTTGAAAAAACATTCGAATCGTAGCCATATTTTCTAACATTTTTAAAGACACGTTGGCCACAACTGAATCGTTTACTTCCTGTTAGAGTACTTCATGTTTGTATTCATTCGAAATTTTTCGGCAGTTATGAATCCTTTTTTCTCCTCTATAAGGCGATTGCAAATGTGAAACTACTGCAGTTATTCAGACATGTGATGCCCGAGCAGCAAATACGACGACGACAGGCTACTATCTCGTTGGCAGCGAATTTGCGGCAAATCGTTTCATGCACCATGAAGCAGAAAAGAGGTACTTAAATAAACTGGCGTCGTTGGTTTCCCCGCAGAGGTGATTTATAGGTGGGTGACGTGGATCCTACTCAGTAGGACCCCGTGCCAGTCGGTAGCATAACGGTCACTAACCACCTGATGTACTCAAGTTGAATAACCAGGACTCGGTCGATCATACTTTGGAAAGTTGCCTATCTGTCACCTTCGGTAATTGGCGGATTTGCTTCCCCTGATCGATTTATCCATGAATTACACAATCCGCCTTCGTAGAGAACCACATTAACCCGTATGAGAGCATGCGTGATAAGTTTAATAAGCTGAACGCGTCACAAAGCAGTGAATATTTCATTCCCATATATCCTAATTCCTAAGTCACAAACGCTCTAGTTTGCGCAAAAGGATTTGGTATATCGGCCTACTCTTTATTCGCACAGGGTACATCACGATTCATACGCTTTCTGCAAATTATCTGCCTTTAATGGCCGTCCACAACGAATCCCATCACCACGTTCTTTTGCACAATTCATCGTTTCTGCATCACCATAATTCATCCAGCCAAGCAAATACTTACAGCTCCCTGTCCACTTCTGTAATCGCACCAACCATTGTCACGATTCTTACTAATACGGCTGTTCTTATAATCCTCCTCAAAGAGAAAAGCCTACACACCGCGTTCAACGTATACATTCTCGTGCTATTTGTAGCAAATGTCTTGTTCGCCGCACTGGACTGGGCAACTCTCCTGATCTCCACCTCGCACCCATCCTGGTGGGTCCGCAGCTGTGTTTTGCACATCTACTGTCTCTTCATCATTGCCAGTATCGTTATCAACACACACCTGCTGATTACGCTGACCCGGGCGTGGGCGCTGTTCTTCCCGGTATCATACAAGGAACGGCATACTAACAAAACTGCCTGGATGTTGTGTATGGGAATGGTGGCTTATGTCTAACGCCCTAATCCTCCCCGGAGTAATCATCAACGCCGTGCATTACTCATCTAAAATGCGCGAAGGATGCTGGCTGAATCAGCCAAACCACGGGAGTGCCGTGATGTTAACTGTAACTCGCATCCTGGTGGCGGATGTACCGAAGGCGTTTATTCCTCTCTGCTATCCGTTTATACTGTGGAAAAGAATTTACAGTAGAAAGCTTTCTACACAGACGGAGAGAAGTTCCAATGAAATTATTCCTATGCAGCCAACAGCAAAAGTCACGGATACCGCTGAGCGACGCCGAATCCCCATGAGATCGCGCTCATTCGTGGTGCTGACGTTGTTTAGCATTAGTATTACTGTCTGCTGGGTTCCTAGTCTGATTTATAACCAGTTGATTTTTTATATTCCATTGTCGAAATTACAGCAATTCCGGAATGCAGTGGCGGTGTTGTTTGCGCTGCAAGCCGTCCTTGACCCGGTGTATTTCTGTCTGAGTTTCCATATCCTCTACCAATGTGTTGTATGGTACCGCAAGAAAATGCAGGCTCTGATGGCGTTAATATTTAGTCAAAGGCATGATCTTTGACTGAACTAGACTGGGCAAGCATTTTTTCATCGACACGCACTCCAGAGATCATTGATCGGAGGCTGAAACTGATTTTTTGACGGATTTTTCATAAATCCTGGATGTCCTGCTTACGCACGCTCCGTAACATAAACAAGTATAACTAGACATGTTTATTTTAGCGCTACAAAGAAAGCACTGCTGTATGGTATGTTTTTTTGTTGTTGTCCGTAATAACACCAAAGCAGCACATTCTGCTGTTTAGAAACGCAGCCCAACTTCGAAGTTAGCTTGTCATAGAAACGCCATCTTGTAAAGGTAAATCAAATTAGTCTCCTTTTTTTACTTCCCATCATGTATCAGTCGCTACCGGAAGTCTTGCGGCTCACCACTCGAGAGTCTTTTCTGGTGGTAACGAGTTACAGCAGTTACAGATGGTTTCCAAAGAATCTGCACAGTATACTTAGAAGATCAGATGGGGCGATATTCGTACCATTCATCATTCTGCTGCCTATCAGTAGCAGGAAGCTGGAGATAATATAGGGGGAAAAAGTAAACGTGTTCCACCGTTCCCCTGTATTGCGGCCGTCACCCGATTGGAGTGCGACGTTGTGGCTGAACATGGCGCTTATGTACCGCGCCAGATTTAGCCATATGTATTGCCGTAACGTCACATTCCAGGCGGGTGACGGCAGCAGTACAGGCGAACGGTGGAACCCGTTTACTTTTTCCCCCTATAATAGCTATACAGATATATACGGTACACGACCTCTCCGACCTGGATAATACACATCGCCTTTTGGGACTCATTGATTCGGCTTATTTCCTGGCGTTGATGAACTTATTCTCGTTCATACGCAAGCGAACGACAGAGTCTGTACTTTAGTAAACAGAACTCAGGTGCAACTTCTTCAGAAAGCGAGAAAGCGATTAAAACAAGCAGGTCTAACGCGCTTCAATCATTTCCTGTAAAGATGATCAGGCAGCGACGCAGTACGTTATCGAGTTCAACCGGAATTAAGTGCATGGAGATTCTGGTCATTAGAGAAATCGTCATCATGTTACAACTCGAGAAAGTAATTATTTCTTGTAATGTGATTTTTTTCACTACATTAATTACTCTGTTTTGACTGGCTTGTGCTAAAAAAATCATTATTATTTTCTTTTTTGGGATAAAATGCTGATATTGCTTTCAGCTTGAACTTCTGCATACCGGTTAAGTATGCGACTAATTTAGTTTCTGATTTTTGCAGCTTTATAATGTACATAAGTACAGCAAGCTACAAGAAGCGATGGCTACGGTTTAATTAGCAAAACCTTTTTTACAATTATTTGTACGTTGTCAAATAACTCGCTCGTAATACGGTAGTATTCGACAACAAACTGTTTAATGACTGTGTGCCCGACAGAAACAAACGACAGCAGTTTACACAGCAATAGTTTGTTACAAATTAGCTGCCGCAGCAGATATCAATGTTTTGATACCATTGCGCGATACGTTTCTTCGCAAGAAAAATTAATAAGCATTTTCTTTTTTGTTCATCATTTTACTCCCACAGTAGCACTTTTTGCACCCAAACTGAATCACTGACTGACAGCCTTGGTAAGCGCGTCTTTGTATCCAGTGGCCCATTCACGGAAGTGCAAGGACGGTTCGCCGGTCACAAACGGGACGTCATCCCGGACAGCCGAGGTTACTCCCAGACGGCCGTCCTTAATCTGGATGATAAAATGACGGACGCCTTCAGCGTACCACTTTTCATTCCACACCGGCGACGTGGCTACATAGTTCACAAAGTCCTGCTCCGTTTTCTTGGCCACGCCGATCGGCTTCCCGGTGACTTCCGAAATGATTTTACCGGCTTCCGCCATGGTCAACGAATCCGTGCTCATCCTACAAAAATGTTCGTAAGTAAATTCCGCATATAAAAGTTTTGTTAAAATAAACATTTTCAAAATTAAACATATTTAGCTGTTTAATTTGTAATACATATTTACTTGCAGTATTTAAGCAATATACAATCCACGTAAACAATACGTTCGTGGATTATTTATTTATAATTGTATAATTTGTATTTGATTTTGAAATACCTATTTATTGATCTTATTGACGAAATATTTTGTTTTATAACATACTACGTTCTCTAACTCATACAGTTTTTTATTTCACTGATAATAAGTCTTATGTTTACAAATTCACGAGCAGCATAGTTGTACTTCTATTGATGAATTTGTTTTTAATTCATTTATAAATTTGTTTAATAAAAGTTTATTTAATATCGAGTTAAGCATTTACCAGTAATCCTTTCCGTGGTGTTTGCACGGTCCCTCCCGCAAAACGGTCGCCGCCACCTTAGCGATATCCTCCGCTGCCACCCATCCCACCTTTCTCCCGTCGAAAAAGTCGTTCATCGCGCCTTTATCGAGGAAATTCGGTGCAAAGACGTTCTCCATAAACATATTCGGATGCAAATTGGTCCACTTCAACCCGCTGGCCTTCAGGTAGGTCTCGATCATGAAATGCCAAACAAAATGCGGGTCCGTGGTGTCCCAATCGGCGAAGATGCCCAGGTGCACCACATGCTGGACGCCGGCTTTATATGCCGCATCGATCAGTGTCTTGCTCTGCGTCAACATGGCTACCGTATAACCCGTAATTAAGATCAATCTATCCACGCCGTGCAGCGCCAATCCAAAGGTCAATGGATTGTCTAAGTCCAAGATCACAGCATCTTTCTTCTCCTTCTTCCATTGATCGACTTGTTCTTGTCGACGTGATGAATAGCGCACGGTGACGTCTGCGGAATGTTTTTCCAGTTTCTCCACGATCAGTCGGCCGTTGGTTCCGGTTGAGCCAATGACCAGGATGACGGGCTTTTTGCACGGGTGGTGCGACATTTTTTTGCGTAGGATCAAGAAGTCTTCAACTGGAAGAAAATGTTAAGGGAGCAGCGGAACTTGCATTTACGCTGTTGCAGTGGCACGCGATTAAATACGACTAATGTAGTGCATTTCCGTACGCTTATCACTCTCTGTACGAGTTGGATAGTCAAAGACGCTGTTGACTAACTAACTAACTAACTATAGCTGCTTAAGGCTGCTCAGCAGAATGATAGCACGCCGGTATTGACAAAGCTTCGTTTGTTCGATTCACTTAACAAAATCCACAAGTGTAGTGATAACAGGTCTGTACAATATATTTTATAAATCCAGGGACCAGATGTTCATCTCGCCGCCAGGGCCACGCGTCAAGCTCGTGCAAACCGCATTTCTGCACCGGCGTATACTCGTACATTGTGCGTCAGGTTGCAGTATAGTGAGTGTACCATACGTTTGCACCTGACATGTAAAACTGTTGATAAATAAGTGTCGAATTTTGATGTTATTATGATGATAAATACTGGAGTATGGTAATAATAGCAAATAAAACTTTACTATTTCTAGAAATCAAATCATAATCTAATCAAATCATAATCTAATCATAAATAGCATAATCATAAGTTATTATTAAAGAACAAATATGATAATAATAGCATCCACATGCAATTAACTTAAACGAAGGAGAGCACTAGCGATAAGCTGCGTGAAAGTTAGCAATTTTGGTGGCGTACATATTATGTATATCACTGACTTCTTGTAGTGAAAACACGATAACATTATTACGAGCATTACGAAGCAGAAGTACTGTACGTACTACGCACATGAATGCCATTATGAAAAAACAACTAGAAACACAACACCTGTAACACCGGGTTAGCATTGCACTGCAGGAGTGAGTGAGTTTGCCGGGAAAAAAACGTTCACAAAAATTACGAAAATGCGAATTTCCAACGGGACGATGCTTGTAAAATTAATGCTACGTACTCTGTTGTACTTTCATGAAACACGGACGTTACGAGTGTACAATCGTGTTCTGGAATTTTTATAAATTTTAACTTTACCAAGAGTTGCCCAATCAAACAAAGATTGCATAAATAATCAATTTAAAATCTTCGACGTACTTATCTGAAATGGCAACGCCCCGATTTTCGGGCGCATTTAATTTTGCTTTGCGCCCGTCAATGATTTTTAATGCTTGAAATTAATTGCCAGCTTCGTACATCAAATCATGCACACAGCAAGTACATAAAAACATTACAGGTAATGTACTGAAGGGGTTCATCCAGAATCCAATGGAGTATGCGAGCTCTTATCATAATCTAAATTTTTATCTCGGAGAGAGCTGCAGTTCATAAATTTATGATAGCACATATTACTGTACGATTTCCGAATTACATTCAAGTTATACAACTGATGATGCAAGCAATAGAAAGTCTTCGAAATGGCTACGTGTAGACCACAAAATAAAGACAGTCGTTTTTGCAAGTACGGAGCGACGATTACCTCCATTTAGCGATCTTATTTCACCCATAATTCGATAAAGTTCTCTAGTCACGTTTACTGAGGGCCAGTCTGAGGCTGACCAGACAACCATAGCAATCACAAATCTGATCGGGATGTACGTACGGAAACATGAACGATAAGGAACATACAAAACAGTCAGAAACATTACATAATATTTTTAGCCTTATATTAATTTTGTCCCGCCACCAATCGGTTTAACAGACAATATTTATGTAGGAACCATTTGAGCGAGCACGAACAGTTCGTTGTTCAGTATCTTGCAACCCAGCCGCAACTTCCTATTTCACCTGCGCATACACCTCCAGTGCATCATGCAGTCGTCCAAAAACACCTCCATTCCAACTTCGCAGCTCCTCCCATTCACTCTTCGGCAGCGTTACAGAAAATGTCCGCAGCCACCCACCGACGATCAAATCCGCGTAGTTAGCCTTGGTCCCGAGTAGAAACGGCCCACTAGTGTCCTTCTCGAACAGCTTGCCCAGACCACCCAACATATTCTTCAGCGACTCCTTCGTCTTTTCGCGCTTCTCCCCCACCAAGGCAAAATCCTCAAACTTCGACAAACCCGCACGGCGGACGAATTCCGCCTTACTGATCTCAGCCGTCGCTGGATCGAATAGTTCACTCATACCATGCATCGCCAATTGGATGTGCGCGGTGAAGGCCGCGTCCACGTTCACATTGAATTTAGCGTATTCCGGGAATCCGTCGCGACACTCGGTTAACGGGACCAGAGGTGCATGAGCCGGCGAGTAGGCGTAGTCCAGCGTCTGCGGGGGGAACAGATCCCCGGCGCCCGCGTTGGGATACGTCTTCTGCAGGTAGACCGCGATGTCGAAGGAGTCCCCGACCAAAGTATTAGTGGCGCGATCATGGATGATCGGCAGGGTATAGTAATCGGCGCCATTGGCGAATTTGCGACAGGCTGGCACGTTGAGGCTCTTACGGACGTTGGGAATGTCGGGCATAGGCACCCAGGAGGTGGTGTAGGGGACAGCTTTGAAGTTGAGTGCCAGTCGGGATTTCCAGGGGTTGGGTGCGAGGCAGCTGGTCTCCACGGGAGGACGCATGGCAATGTCGTAGAAAACGATAGAAGTAGATGGCGTTGGGCTGGTCGACATGGTGGATGATGGAAATGTGATTGGAAGAACTCTTTCCTTGAAACTTGCCGCTGGATAATGTGTCTTTGAAAAGGAAAATGGCTTGACGATGCACGGGTGCAGTAGAATAATTATCTGACTGTGAAGGAAAAATCAGCAAAAGCGAAAAACTGAAGCGCAAAGGAAATGCTGGCTTGTTATTAATCAATCGATCAGCACATACGTAGCACTTGGCTCTGTGTGTGGGCTGTCAGTGCTTAACTGGCTCGTACCGTACGAGCCAGTAGCACTCGCATCCAGTAAAATTGTACGTACGTACAATACTTCTCGTACGTACTGGATGTGCAAAATAATATTAAGTATTAAAAATAATTTTAAAGCAGCATTATTATGCAATAGTGACAGTACAAAGTAACTACAATCACAAGCACAAAGCATGCGGTTGTTTGGGCCTGTCTTACGAAAATAAGTACTGTAATAATATACAATGAATACAATAAATGCTTATGATTGTATGTAGTGCGCTCGTACATGCGTAAACCGTAATAATTAAATAAAATTTTTATTATGCGTGATACCGTAGAATATAGATATAATATAATATTTATTATACGTGCACATGTCTTACAGATACTTTAATACATCATTTGGCGGATCATTACATGTTACGATTAGTGCCTAAGTACTTATGTACCATTGGCTTTAATCACAACAAACAGATTTCACCATAATTATACGCTAGAACCCCGTACATACGGTTTGATGGAAAACCTGTATTAAGTTACTTCAATACATATTGTGATTCGAGTATGTACGATAACGAGACAGACTAAAATAACTTTAATCTTGTGGATAACATGCCGGTATTGACACAGTGTGTTAATTCTGCATGACTGTAGTATTGACATAATCGGAATAGGCACAGATAGCAAGCCCAGCCATTCTTACTATGTCCAGGGACCATTTGTACGCGTTCCCACGAGTCCAGCATGTGCAGATCGCGCTTGTGTGCCATGCCGTGTGTACAATACGCCGAGTAAAAAGTAAGTACTGTACAAGCAATGTGCAGTAGAAGTCTCTATGTTAAAATTAATAACATCGATATTTGTAATTAATTGTAACAACTGCAGTGCTCATCCAGTATAAAGCGGACCTGGCGGTGTTAAAGCCAGATATGTCATACAGTAGTATACGCATTTGGCTTTAACATGCAATCGAAATTTGTTCCAAAAGAATTATCATGTGGTTAAATGTAGTCATGTCTTTATATCAAATCACAAGCTCTACTAAAAGGATACCGGCGAAGGTATTGTGATTATCTATGAGACGCCAAATGTACCTGTATACTACTCTTATTATTTTGGTATTTCACAAAGTACCTATACTACACCTATATATCTGTATGTGCAGTAATATAAAATTTTTAGTGTTTGTAAAACATACATCATACGAGTACATTCAATAAACAAGAATAATATTATTGTATATGTGTACGTATACGTAAGACTGTTTAAATAGCTCGTAGTACGTGTTGGGCTAGAAAATTAACAATCCCCATTTTTGAGGCACGGTCCATTTCGAAAGTTCAAAGAATTCATTTGAGCGAACAAAACTTTGCGTATCTGGTAATGATCACTTAAGTCGGCTTAATCACAACGCCGGTAGTTGTAAGTGGTGCGTATGTCCTAGTTATTACTTAATTTCAGGAAATTGTCTTACTTATTGCGTATTCCAAGTCAGCATGGAGTGTACATGCCATTATTACACAGTCCCTTCCCACGTTAATTGGGACAAATTCTTCATTTGATTATATTTGTTGAGCGAAGCTCGCCTTGTACATATTGAGAAATAAAATGTTACTTTAAAACAGTTATTGCATATTTCGTTTCCGGTACCAGCTTAGTACGACGTTCTCATGCCTCCGACAGGAACACTTTCGATCAGATTGGTACTTTGAATCTGATCTGATATGTAAAGGCAATGATTATCGTATGGTATCTCGGCGTCCAGGTCTGTTGACCTTCTCGTGGAACATTGCGTCGTCTAGCAAAGCGCAAGCTAACTAGTTGCGAAATGATTATTGTACGTAACAGAAAATTTCTGCTATTTAATACAACCAGTAGCGTACTGTATGTAGATATTGTACAGTGTGCACGTAAAGCCGGTTGGAAAAATATCGCGCAGCAGGTACCTTGTTGCCCAATAAAACTTTTCCTACGGGTATGTTTCGAGAACACACAATCCATTTTCGGACGTTATACTGTAACAGAATTTCCTGAAATTAGCTACCACATCTTATGTACAACTTTACGGTACCGAAAATGCAATTATGTCGACCGGAAAGCTCATTTCGCAAGAATTTATTCGCCAAAATAAAATCGTATTAGATTGACTTTTTTGCCTAATTACTGCGAGTTGCCATGGTGTGCACTATGCATTGGGCCGTTGGTTCTAATACCGCAGCTGGGACAGTATTTCGTTTTCCGGTGCCGGTTGTAGTAAACGGTGCCTTAGGTTTGACAATAAAACGTCATATCCACTTTGGGAGTCACAATCCGATTTGATATGTGCTCATGGCGAAGGTCGAATATTCAGACCTGCGCCATGAGCATATTAAATCAGATGATATCGCACATCGAATCTGCTCATAATCCTTTACAGTACGTGTACAAATACTAGCTTTGCACAAACCGTATCTGAATAAAACGACCATCAGCAGAGAGTTCGCGTCCACTAGTGGTTTTAAAGGGGTGTCATTTCAGAATCCCTAATCAACCTGAAAGACACTGACCCTCCAGCTGCAAGAATTTGCGGGCATTTACCGTAAACATTTTTACGACAAATGCCTCCTTGGCGAAAAAGTGTTAACCGTAAGTACCGGGGACCTGTTCACGAACCCCTCTTCCATCAACAAACATCATGTTATGGTTTCGTTGATCATCACAACAGATCGGTAGGCGCTCAGTGCTGCAACTGGCCTGGCCTGGCTTGTGTCCTTCGCATCTTAACCAGTGGCAGGACGGACATCTCAATTTGCCGCCCTCGCGAACGCGTTGCGGCACAAGGATCAATGTCATCCACAAACCGCCCCACGCCAAACGCAGGCAGATACTGTATATGCTTCGTTGGTCTGTCCTTCAGCAGTATAGGTAAAAGACTCCAGTCGCACGTTGTGTTGACAATCTTGCCGCGAGTCCGTGATGACTTGGGGTAAGTCTGTCGCATCGGCTGCCCTCGGCAACGATGACGTTTGTCAAGTCACTTGATGTACGTAAAGGTCGTGGAGGGCAGCCGAAAAGGTCGAAATCGAAGAAAACCGTTGGTGCGATAATTTCGGTCCAGTTAATTATTTTTCCTTACTCTAGAAGGTTCCGGTATGTGCCGCTTGGTGCTACTTTTGCACTTATAAAGCCTATTAAAGGAATTTCGAAACCGAAATGTTGCTGACTCCGGCGGAATCGCCGGTGTCATCATACCGGTACCGGTAGGAGATGTTTCTGTCCATTATTAATATAGCCCTTAGCTTGACTCAGGCTTTATCTTGACACTGGTTACCTCGTATGATCCATCGCAGTACATTAACGGTCTCTAGAGTACATACGTCTTCTTAAAGCCCAGACTCAAACTCTGACTCTGATTCTGACTACTCAAAGTCTGACTCTGACCGCTCAAAGTCTGACTCTGACTACTAAAAGTCTGACCCTGATTCTGAAGGTTTCTTAGGTTTTCTTAGGTTTCTTAGGGTTTTTCTTAGGTTTCTTAGGTTTTTTTAGGCTTCTTAGGTTTTTTAGGTTTCTTAGGTTTTTCTTAGGTTTCTTAGGTTTTTGTTATGTCTCTTAGGTTTCTTAGGTTTTCTTAGGTTTCTTAGGTTTTTCTTAGGTTTTCTTTGGTTTTTCTTAGGTTTTTCTGAAGTTTCATGGGTTTCTTAGGTTTTTCTTAGGTTTCTTAGGTTTTCCTTATGTCTCTTAGGTTTCTTAGGTTTTCTTAGGTTTGGACTGTCAGAGTCAGACCTTAAGTGGTCAGAGTCAGAGTTTGAGCGGTCAGAGTCAGAGTTTGAGCGGTCAGAGTCAGAGCTTGAGCGTGGGCCTCTTCTTAATGCTTACAGCTGAAACATAACGGATACGATGCATCTCGGTTTCCACTATCGTTCTAGTTTGCTAGTCCCGAACTCAACCGTATTTAATCTCCGCCACGAACATCTCAGACCCGAGAGAGACTCGCAGTCCGATCTGACGTGCTCATGACGAAGAAGAAATACGGCCTGCAAACAAATCAACAAAGGGTTCAGTGATTACGCGTACTTCTATCGTAAGGAACCGTGTTGATGAGGACTGATATTGGTGAAATTCGTGAAATAATCCAACTGTTCACTGCACGGGGCAAAGCCGTGCAGTGAGAGACTTGGATACTTTCCGAATGTGGTCAACAGTGAAATAGGTGGACAGCGATCCAGCAACGACAACCAGCATGCGAACCACCTACCTTCCGCATGAGACATGGCGCGGCATTTGATTTCAGAACATTCAGAATATATCGAGGAAGAAACTTGATACGATAATTCCGATCGAGTTAATGTAGATTGAGAACGGTAGAAAAGCACAAACTGGCTCGGTTTCCGGTATGAGGTACTTCGTGGTTGCACCTGTAAAACCTAAAATATTCAAATAAGTCGCTTACTGCGGCGCAAATGTTGTTGCTGCCACTAACGGCAATACGAGGAATCACTTCTCTTCAATACAGGGAAAACAGGAAAGCACTACACGATTTTTTAGACGAATGCAGAGTTTCCAGAAGCTGAACTTGCAGATTGCAGTGTGTGTAATTCCCAAACCGGAAGCCAAGCTAACATGAATAAGCGGTAGTGTAAGCAGGAAAACACTTGAAACACGTGGTGTTCACAGAATGTTGATCATGTTATGATCAGGCAGTCAAGCTTCCCGGCAGAGCCACCACGCAGTGACTGCGCAATAAGCAATTTTGCATTCACGGAAGCTTATTATTTCATTTTTGGTGGCAGTTGTTAAGTGGCGAAATGCATAAGTACTACAGCCAATAGTATAATGTTCTGTTGACATGGTGATTATTGCACAGTTAATCGGTGATTTATAAGGGCGGAAACACTGCGCGGATCGATAAAGGAAACTGTCCATCAATTTCCGGTTACATCTTCCTTTTATAATTTATAATTTACGTCAAAGACTCTCCTAAAATCTGCATTAAGTACAACAAGTTTAGAAAACTCTAAGCACCAGCCGATGTTCCAGAAATTTTGCCCGATCGACCTAAAATGTTAACAAACACCGTCGTATGATATGGGCAGTTCTTTTATTTAATGCTGTTCATGATTATGCCCATAGATAACCTTTGCCATGTATGATCTATCGGGAAGAAGTAAGGAGTGGTCAGCAAGGTAAGTCTAGTGCATATTACAATAATTTATCTAGCAGCATATATCGCTACAAAATTTAGGCAATTTTAAATATCACTCTTTGTTTTTCCACTTTTTCGATAGCAAACGGAGCACTTCAGTATGGTCCGATGAAAAACAGGTTGACCTTTCTCAACGGTCCTGCACTATGGCACCAACATCCAGAGCATCCCGAATGCCGGCAGTAATGACTACGTCGACACTTTAAGTGTCAGCTTACTGCAGTAATCAAAATTGGTATAAGTGTCCTTCTCACGAAACGGTAACACAGTAGTTTCGGATTGAACCAAATCCGGATTGCCTGATCCTTCGAAAGTGTTATTCTGACCTGGAACCTGTATCGATTTCGCATCTTTGCCTTATCGAAGTTTCCGATTTCGATGTGTCAAAAATGCGTAATGGATTGTTCTCGAACACTGGAGAACATCGCTGCCACACGGTGCCACAACCAGCAATATTATACATAGAAAAAGGCGGAGTTTCAGTTTATCCTTACTCTGCTCAGAATATTATCAACTAATTCAGTGTGGAATACATATAAATCAGTATATACACGGCACCAACAATCATTATTGCAAGCAGATTTAAAGTACTTTTCGATACGTTTTCGCGCTTGTATGCCTAGCAAATGCTTGAAACTTTAATATTCTGCTGGAGACCGAACGCGCAATTAAACCGGATGAACCTTTGCTGATAACGCCAGCGCAATCTGATCCTTCTCTTTATTTTGCAGTTTGTGTGTCAACCTGATTCTTAGATTAAACCTTTAATTACTTATTTTACTGGACTTGCTCGAATTTGTAACCCTTATCTGTACACGAAAACATCAGCATGTGATTATTTATGGCACAACGTATCTTCGACTTTCTGTTTGATATTCCTCGGTGACCTTTGGTAGCAATTACTAAAATGAAGAAACAAATCTTGATACACCGCTTGATCATTATCCGCCACTTGCACCCGGATAAAGGAAGTCTGTAAATCACTGAGTTCTTCCGGATTGGGGCTTTCTTCACATAATCGCAGATCCGCCCAGGGGTGCAGTGCCATTCGCTGCAACTGCTCCTGCACATCCAGCACCGGGTCCATACTGGCAAACAGTGGAATCGAATCGTTCAAGTACACCCATTTCAGCTGGGAGAATTTGGTGAAAATCATCGGATTCAGGCATCGCAACGACAGCTCCCGGACACTGACATGAGTCAGATTGCCGCCTTTTCCCGGCCCGAAGATAGTCATGGGAATGTGGACTTCCGGGAGGCTATTGTCATGGAGAAATAGCGCTCGCAGTTTCGGCAGCATATCGAATGCACCGGTCTGCAGTAAAAGGAGCTTATTCGCGGAAAGGTCGAGATCTTCTAGGTTCTCCAGGCCGGCAAAGTCTAGCGAGCCAATGGAAAACAGACCGTTGTTAGCGAGGTTCAACCTGCGAAGGCCTTTTAAAGGAGAGAAAGCTTTTGGGCCGGTGGATTGTAGGCGGTTGTATTCGAGGTCCAGGTATTCCAGCTCTGTAAACGGAATGAAATGGTTGGTTCCATGAAGGTAGGCGATTTTGTTGTGGGCCAGATGCAGAACTCGCAAGGCCTTTGCACTTGCAGCCGGCATTTTCTGCAACGCGTGGAACCTTCTTTTATTTCATGAGCACTGTAGAAATATCTAAAATGTCACTGGAAGAGGTCAAGCGCTGTTAAAAATTAAGTAAATCTATTCGGTTTCTGTACAACAATAAAAAATCCGAAATGGCCAAAGTTTTATACGACAAAGTTTGATACGAGGGTTTTTTTTTAACCCTCGTATCAAACCTCGCCCACTTTCCGAGACTGGTTTCGCAACAAACATGCTTTACATTGCCTACTGCTTTACCTGGAGTTTTTGGAAGAAATTCGACCGCAGAAACGCTCGGTTCAGATACAGCTCGCGGATGGTAGGCCACTCGCTGAAAGCATCCTTGGCAATTTGTACGCGTTGGCTTTCCTTACGCGGGCAGAACGACATATTTAACATCTTCAAGTTTGGCGATATTCCACTGAAGAAAATCTTGGTAATATTCATGTAGTTATTGCAGCTTAAATCGATGACCTGCAGGTTTGGCATCTCCTTGTAGACGGTCGAATTCAGGGTGGTACGCCGGTTGTGCGACTGAACTTCGATGCGCAGCTTAGAAAAGTACTGCGTGCGTCCGGCAAAAAGTGGTTTGGAGATCTCGTTACCAGACAGTTCATAACGTACCAAATTTCGGGCCCAGCTTTGGTAGCCAAACGGGTTGGTCGTTAATTGATTATCCGACAAATCCAGCCAAGATAAATTTTTAGCGGTTAAATTCTGAAAGAAATCCTTATACTCAATATCCCGGATGTTATTCCCGTCCAGCTTCAAGATCTCCAGGTTTGGTAAACCGCGGAAAATTCCCAAGCGAAATATGGGTAGATTCGTCAACCCAAAATCCAAGTACTGAAGATTGGTGAAGTTAATAAACAAGTTCTCCAGTGCACTGTAGCTCTCAAAGTGGCTGCCGCGCAGTGATAATCGTTTCACCGGTGACAACCGGTTGAAATTCGTCAATGCTTGTTTTCCAATCGGGAATCCGTTATGTGAGATTTCGACATCGCTTCCCTCGTCTACGGTCAGACTGGTGATGATGTCATGAAAGACGGTATAGTAGAAGTTGGGATTGGCTGTGATGAAGGTGTTGTTACGGACCAGAAGGCGTTTCAGCGGTTTGACTGTCACAAACGGCAATGGTCGATGGTCCAACCGTCCAATGTGCACCTCATTATTGAAGATTTCAATTGATTCGATGTTGGGAAAGGCTAGGAAATACTGATCCAGGAGACCGACGTTTTGGTCCCGGACACGGAAATGCTTCATGTTCGGGAAGGTTCCTTGCAAATTGTAATCCGATTGAAAATCTTCAATGCCGGTTCGGTGCAAATCGATTCTTTCAACTGCAAAAGGACCAACAAAAACTGGGCTCGCTGCAGTTTTTTCTACAGTGGACTGCTATACAGTATACATGTACTGTACAACGTAGGACCGAGAAAAGGTGCAAACCAGTCGGTCCGCTGTTAAAAATTTAAAAATAAATTCAGCAAACAGTGTGCAACAGGAAAATATCCAATGCACACAAATCGCCAGCAATAGGTATGAACAAAGAACCGCTTGTCTGCGTAATATGCGTTTAGAAACGAAGCGTCTGGAGCACAGTGTACTTTGCTCTTGACATTAACATTAATTGCGCTTGACATACCGCTGACAGGTAGAAGTTCCAACGGGAAATTCTTCATCTTCGGTGTATTCTGGATGGTGATCCTCTTTAGTACCGTCACCATCAACACTTCCGGGAACATTTCCAAATTCTCCAGATTCTGCATCTGCAGTTCGACCAGTAGTGTCCGTACATCCAGGAAGGTGATCCCACCCAGACGCTGGATGGCCGGAGCATTCCAGATGTGCAGGGTGAAGGTACGGTTCAGGCCGGCGAAGATCTGCAGATCCGCCTGCAGTTGGTTGCCGTCGACGCCTTCGCAGACGACGATGTAGGTATCCTGTGTACAGTCGACGAAGCATAGTCCTGACGGCAGATGTGTACAGACACCGTAAACGCACTGAATGATAAATGAAAAAACGCACAGAATGGGTAGTAAATGAATCATGAAACCGTTAATCGTTCACTTAAGCGTTTATAAGGAATACAAAGTGAGTACAAGCGCTATAAATTACCGTTTTACAGACAGAATTGCATTGCTTTTTTTTAATATGGTTAATGGTAGCGTGGAAAGCGTGGTCGCTCGAGTATTGCACAATGCCATATGGTGTGCCTTGGAGCAATGTTGCGACTGAATCGGCAGCCGGGCCGTTAAGGCAATTTTTAATTAAGTTACTAAATGCACAGTGTGTTATGCTTTGTTCTCCTCTCCACAGCGCATAAATTTGAACGTCGAAACAGAAAATTTAACTGACAGGAAAATTATCGCCAGTGTATCTGGTTTCTCAGTACGAGTACATGTATTCCAGGGACAACACCTGATCTTGGGGCATATTTCACTTTCAAGCATTTTGTCGACATGTGACTAACTTTTGTTGTGCCGAGAAAGCTGTGAACTGTGTTGTACGAATATCATGCACTCCGTGTCTGTACCTACATGCAATCAAGTAACAGATAATTGCTAATTCATGTCATTAGCTCGACTGCTGTGTAATATGCTGTTCATAAACTGCTACTTTGCCATGCTAAATTTGTGATGTGCAGACAGGCTGCAAAACTTTTTCCGACGCCAAAATGTTGCCTCATTAACAATTATTAATTGCTTTGGTCATCTGCGTGCAACTGGGAACTGCCCAAGATCTTGAACCAACCAATATGACAGTACAAATTATGGAGGCCGAAGATACGAGTATATATTATGTAATACATTATATTTCACTCAATCTCTAGACATGGCAGTTTCATAAAATGGCAAGTATTTAAAATGGAGAATAATAAATTATAAACTCAATCGATTCGAAATGCGGGCAAAGGGAGGTTTGCAAAGATGTTTGAAGAAAATGTGAATTGGACCTTCTTTCGCTCACTACAAAATACATACGCACACTTTATGCGCCGGCGTTTAATAAATAATTTCTTTTCCGAGATTGCCATATCACAACTGCCAAGAATTCACTTATACATACACTGCTGTATTCCAGAAATGTTTTAAATATAACTGGTTACGTAGTACTCAAATTCTTGAGCTCAGTTGACACAAAGTGTGTCTCGTACTTTCTCTTTTATATTCCGCGATTGCGGATAGAAGCAATCGTTAAAATGGAGGTATAAATCCTGATAGACCGCCTGCTTGGGATCACTAACCGACACCCGCACAAACGATTCCTCCAAATCCGTCGGTTCATCGTAATCATCAGCGTCATCACACATCTGCAGTCCCGCCCAGGGATGCAGGCGGATGTTTTGCAGTTGCTGAGCGACATTCAGTTGCGGATCCATGTCGACGAAGAGCGGAATCGAATCGTTCAGGTAGATCCATTTCAGATTGCGGAAAAAGGTGAACAACGACGGATCAAGACAGCGCAGTGCCAGATTACCAATGCTTAAGTGCGTCAGATTACGACCTTTTCCATCGCCAAAGACATCGCTGGGCACAACCGTCTCCGGGAGATTGTTGTCGTGCAGGAAGAGAGCGTGCAGGTGGGGTAGCATATCGAAGGAACCCGGCGAAATTAAGAGCAGACGGTTGCCGGAGAGGTTCAGGTCTTCCAGGCTGTCCAGTCCGATGAAGTCCTTGGTACCAATGGAGAACAAGCCGTTATTGGCCAGATTCAACTGTCGCAGGCGTTTCAAAGGAGAGAAGGCCTCTGCGCCGGTGGACTGGAGACGGTTGTCGTGGAGATCCAGATACTCCAGTTCGGTGAAAGGGGTGAAGTACTTGCCGCGGCCGTGAAGGTAGGCGATTTTGTTGCGCGCTAAGTGGAGGGTCTTCAGAGCCTGCGCGCTCTTGGCTGACATTTTCTGTAATTGAAGTTAACATCAAAAGTTGCTGCTAATTAAATTCCTGTTGCGGGTAGTGCAACCGCCCAGCCTATGCAAACACTTTAATTGGGTTCTCTTCAACAGACGTATACATAATTGCCGAAGTTTTTTGGCGACTATCTGTTATGATTATTTTCAGCGTTGCTATGAGCATGGGCCTGCATGGCACAACCGCAGAATCGGTCGATTTCAGTTGGGTGTTTTGTGGTTTTGTGACAGCATCGCCCATAAATTCGATGCTTTCGGGTTGGACCGCTGACGGTGCACCAGGGCCCAGGCTACTATTTCTTCGTTCCCACGCACGATGCGATTCGAATGTGTAAAAAACGGTGATCGGAGTTATCTCGACTCTGATGAGCGCAGTAACAGCGGCACTGGTGACCTTATAACCTTTTGCGATATACACAGTTACAAGTTCCCTCGAAGCGCTGAATATTGAATAATAACAGATCCCAGATGAAATGCTCTAGCAGGATCGTTTCTTTTACATTTGTAACAAATATTTGTCTAATTATTATGCCTCTAATATAAATGTCCTGCTTTTGTCTCAAACATGTAAATACTGCCTTCGAACTTTAAGGGCCACAGGGCACTCGCAATGAGAATTCCAGGTGCTAGTTTATTAGCCAACCTGAAGCTTTTTGAAGATATTGGCCCGGAGGAACGCTCCATCAATGTACAGCTCCTGAATTGGTGGGAACTCTGTAAACGCATCCTCCGCTACAATCACGCGATTGGATTCCTGCCGCTGGCAAAAGGACAAGTTGTATGTCTTGAGCGACGCCGGTAACTTATTGAAGAAGCCCTTGGTAATGTTCCGAAACTCATTACAGCCGAAATCCAGAACCTCCAGCTCTTTCATAACTTGATAATCCGCTGAAGCAACCTGGGTCCGTCGATTCCGCGCCTGGCTAACGCGGCGCAGTTTCGCAAAGTACTTGCCGCGATTCACAAACAAGGACTTGGAGATTCCGTTCCCGGCTAAATCAAACGACAGTAGGTTCTTCGCCCAGTTCTCATACCCTTTAATCTGCCCATCCAACTGATTGTCGGAGACATCCAGGTTGGAGAAATTGTTGGCGGCTAAACCCTCGAACAGCTCCCGGTCCTCGGTGTCTCGGATGTTATTCCCGTCGATCTTCAGGGTCTCCAATTTCGGTAGTCCGCGGAAGATCCCGGATTTAAACACCGGCAGATTCGTAAAGCCGAGATCCAGGTCCACCAAATTCCGGAAGTTAACAAACAGGTTCTCCAGAGTATTGTAGTTCTCAAAATGGCTGCCGCGCAACGACAGACGGCGGACCTTGGCCAGCCGGTCAAAGTTCTTCAGGCCCTGTTTCCCAATAGGAAACGCGTTGCCCGAGATCTCAATGTCGCTGTTTTCGTCCACTATCAGACCGCTGACAATGTGGTGGAAGATGGCATTATAGAAATTGAGGTCGGGTGAGTGGAAGGTGTTGTTGGAGATGAGCAGCCGTTTTAGCGGTTTGATCGTAAGAAACGGCATTGGATTAGTGGTCAGGTGCCCGACGTCAATGTGACAGTCGAGCACTTCGATGATCTCAAGATTGGGGAAGGCGGTAAAGTAGCGGTCTAACAGCCGAAATGTCTGGCCAGAAAGACGGAAACGCTTCATGTTGGGGAACTGGTTCGCCAGACAGTAATCGGCGTAGAACTCTGCGATACCGGTCTGATGCAGATCGATGCGTTCCACTACAAACAAGAAATATGTTTTTGTAACAAAATTAATGCACTACGAGTTAAAGTTTTAGCACTGGGTGCTTAACCGTCCTCTTACAGCCGTACGGAGAGGTACTGGTACTGTCCTCGCGCTCCTTTCATTTCAACAAATCTTAAGATTTTGGGGCGTTTAAAGTCCTGCGCCTTGTTTTGGGCTCAAGAAAAAATTTTCTAAATTTCACGTAGTTTGTTTTTTATACAAGGTCGGGAACGGTATCGCCACAGCCACAGGCCAGAAACGAGCGAAAGAGTTTCTTAGACAGCGGTTATCTATCCAAATGCAACGGGGAAACGCGATATGTGTTATGAGTACAATCCCTGAGCAGGATAGCATTATTGAAGAAGTGTTTTTGTTATAATTCTCGTCTTTTTTAGTACTCAGTTTGTACTTTCAATGACGATCCTTATTACAGGCTGTTGGTGTTTTTTATATCCTAATAACAATAATGGATAATTTCTTTCAAAAAAATCGCTAGGACTCGATGAACTTTCGCCTTTAAAGGCTCAACTTTTGTTCTTATTCTGGCTTGTCTTATTTTGAATGCCGGGAAAAATCTTGTCAATTTCAGACTTCAGGATTTCTCTGTCGATTTGTTTATTTCTGGAACGAAATTATTTATCTTGCGGTTCTTAGGTTTTAGAAATTCGTTGCGGGTAGATTTTTATGCGTGAAACATTTTGCTTATTATAATTTCTAAACCTTTTGCTTTCGTTAAACCTAAAAACCTTTGATAAATTTCTAAAAGCGTTTACTACTATAATAAAGTAATGAATGTTAACTTAAAAAGGGAGCTAAGCGGTCGGCTAATGTTGACAGCACAGACACCATGTTTTTTATTACCACTCGGTGGGACGAGCTCCAGCGCGAAATGCAGCAGTTTCGGTGCATTTTGTATGGTGATTTGCTTCAATGCCTTGAGCGCCTTCACTTCCGGGAACATTTGCAGATTCTCCACATTCTGCATCTGCATTTCAATCATCAGCCGTTCCACGGTCAGGAAACTCGTTCCACCCAGCCTTTCGATCCCCGGCGCATTCCACAGATGCAGATGAAAGGAGACATTCAGCCCGGCAAAGAGATCCAAATCCGTCTGCAACTGGTTCCCGTCCACCGCCTCACAAACGACAATATACACATTGGTGTCGGTGCGTGTACAATCCACGAAACACGCTCCCGACGGCAGATGACTACACCCGGCGTCCACCCAATAATCCAGCCGCAGTAATAACAGGAGGAGGGTAAAAACGGTCATATTAAATCATAAAAAATTATACAGGATAATCAGCGCCCGGTTAATGATGATAAACAAATGCTCCATAAGAACATGTGGTTGTTGTGAAACTCGTGCTTCCATTAAACTCATCAGGCCGTAGCGCGGTGTACAGATGTTGACTGCATGAGTAATGAATGATGCTGGTAGCAACGGTATAATTTAGTAAAACATGTACTTGGTTTATAAACTTAGCTTTTGCATGCCACACCCGAGATTTTCTCTTTCAGACTACGCGGTTCTCCACTTTTTATCAGCCCATCAAAATAGTCAAGTAAGTGCTGCATTCTGATGCCGCTGTGTTGCGAGACCAGCAAAAAATGTTTGTTGACCTTGGGGCATAATATAATTGTAATTTGCTGTAGGCGCGCCGTTAAACAGTATTGCCACTTTCCCTGGTGGAATTATTACGGACTAACCAATATAAAAAGATTTCAAATGTTACTATCAAAGCCTTTATTAAAAATGTGCATAAAGTGGTTATTGATTTTATTAAGTAATCACGTACGTTATAAAGTTACCTTAATATTCTGTAGTTACCTGTACGGTATTTTCATATCAAAAACCATATTTAACGAGCTGTTCAATCGTGTTCGCTATCGGAGCCGCGGAATCGCTTGCGCGCAATGCGCGAAGCGCTAGTAGCAAACCCGATGCAATTAATAACAAGCAAAATGATTATACTACACATTCCAGTGAAATAATTTTTTGAACCGTTATAAAAAATTTCATTGATTTCAAAAAAATTATTTTTAACGCAGATGCAGCGTATACTAGTATACGCTGGAATATGAAAAACTTTGTGAAGAGTTTTTTCTAATAAAGTTTAAAATGCGTTTAAAATTTACATTTTTTGACACCCGATGACACCTTTGCTTTTATTTACGGATCTGGGAAACAATAATCTAGAAAAACCCTCCACAAAGTTTTTAACAAATGTTTTTTTTACATACTGATCAAAGTTGATAATTTTCTTAGGTTTTCTAAATTAGTTATAGATTTTGCGGATTAAATTTGTCAAATTGCTCAGTATTCAGCGAAGAACTTTCTTTGTTCTACACTTTTGCGGAATGCTTCACTTTTGCGCCTGCAGTGCCGCCACAGTTATATGAGCGGAGAATGACCACTGGCGCTCACATAACAGTGTTATGCCACTATCACTTTGTCTCGCGGCACTTGTTATCGCTTGGTGTCCTCAGTCCTCACTGTGTATACATGCTTTTGGTCTGCTTCCTATTACAGCTGCCATTCAATTGTTATTCTAGACGCCTTTTCCCTTTTTCTTCTATTGCCAGTTATGGTCATTCATTCGCCTGTGGGCTGTGCGCTTTGACCACAGGCGGCAGCAGAGCAGAAAGATCGTCAGTCCGCCAAAACAATAGCAGCAACTATCACAAAAAAATTTATAACTTTTTAAGTTGCAATTTGATTTAACCGAACTTTGGTCTGAAGGTGGACCAGACTATGTTGATTACAGTTACAAAGTTTCTAAAATCAATATTTTGGTAACCACGACATGGTAGAACCTTTTCTTAAATTACATACGCGATCTTATATACTCGAAAAGCGACCGTGGCAAAGTCCTCGTCATAGTTAGTTCAAATTTGTGGTGGACTCTTTAGGTAAACTATAATATAGTTTACAGTTTATTTAAGAAATGCGGCTTGCTTATTCCTACTGTATGCGGTATTTTGTCACACATTTATGCGCTTTGTTTGAAGTTAACGTGATCAAATTTTTCCCGCTCGGAATTCTGTCGGTACATTTTCGTGCTTATTATATACAACAATTATTAACGTCGTGTTTTAGACTTGTATAAAGCTGTATTTTACCTGTACAATGTACATTGCACTATTGTACATGGCAATGCTGGCATGCGCTGTATATAGTATATTTCGTCTAACAACCTTCACGTATAATGTTCTTAGGAACCTAATGTAGAAACAAATAATGCCAGTTTGTAGAGCAAGCACTAGTACTCGTACTGATTATGTTTTACAATGCACTACGTAGTACTTCAGTTAATTTTGTATAATGTATTGTTGCTATTTTGTGTATTTCTGGACAGTCTACGTAGCTTCACATTTGCTGCATTGGCTTGTAGTTAATGGTGAACGTACATACAATTATATAATACGTATTGTGCAATGTGTATAGCATACATGAAAATTTGTCGGTAATTAAAAGTAATTAATTTTTATATGTACTCGTACTACTTAAAAGTTAATGCTTTGTAGGTAAGCTAAAACTATTTCTAGGGTACAGGTTTTTTTTCCGATACTTCTACTTTTATTTAGGAAGATATTGATCAAACAAGGAGAACTGTAGCATCAGGGATAAAGTCGGTAATTTATGCAGAAAAAATGAATATGTAAATTGTAATAGTACTATTACATAATCATTTCACATAATTATGTATTGCATTTTTAATTGTTATTAACGTAACAGACTTAAATACACATGTACTGCTTATGTCGCCCGTAGCGAGTCAGGATTCTGATGTCATAATTTAACGCTTTGAAATAACGCTCTCCGGGAATATACTTCCCATGAATCTCCGGGAATATTCTTCGTCAGACTGCCCAGTTCGATGGTCAGTTTAAAATTGACGACTGTGCAATTATTATGTATTATTACGGAGACACCAGCAATGCTCAATGTGTACCACACATATGTACGTATTTACGTAAGTTTACGTATGTATAGACTCTGCATTTGCGCTTAAAATCCTATGATGGATTACTTAATTAAGCGGAAATGACGGGGCAGTTTACTATGCAAAATCGGATAGGCAATCAGGTGAATTTGTTTAATTTGCCAAGTTATTCCAATAAACACACAGGCGGACATAATCAGCAATTTTCTACTCTTCCAGCCGATAAGCGGCTTCCCTTTCGTCTGCTGATACGGCATTATTCTGCGCGACACTGGATAAAGTCAACTAAAAATTCTTCGTCGGCTTGATAAAGGCAGTCAAATCTGTTGCGATATCTGTACCGGTCGCATCGCTTTGCAGGAAACTATGCAGTATCGCCACATTATGCGTAATCCAAAGGGTATTTCTGTGTCTGTACCTGTGCGCCATTCAGTCTACATTTTCGGAACGCAATGAATGTAATTATTATGGAATTTCATTTAATTTTCTAGTCAGGTAAATAAAATGAATTTCAGTTAAATTCAACGTGAATAAAACACGCTAAAATCTTTCTTTTTTTCCGTAGTTCTAGTTTCCTTCGTTTTAAATTTCGTTAATACTGCAGCTGTCGCGTCTGTCTTATTACTGCAGCGCGTTTTCCAACTGCAAGCCGCGAGTGCAGTGCCGCTTAAAAACTTGAGATAAAAACATACTTCTATAATACAGTGTACAGGATTCAAAACTTTGAAATCGTTTGTTAAGATTAATATGCATAAATAAAGAACACACTTGAATTTTAAAAATTAATTTAAATAAATATACTGGACTTCAACAATCATATATGGTGCCAAGAAGCAGTCAGACGTACTAGACTGTACTACAGAAACGACATGAGAATACTTAACGCGGACGAGAAAATGGACCGGAAATCGTAATAAATTATACAGAATCTCTGTGTGGTAAATTAATAAAATGAACGGGATATTTCTTGTGCGTACGGCGCAAAAGGAAGTTTTGCAGAACAACGGTAGAGAACTGCCTTGCAATACTTCCCGTACATTGTGTTAATTTTTCTTACTAATACCTTGCATAGAAAAAGCAGAAATTAGTTGAAAACATTACAACGGAGATTTGCTTGAAAAATCCCCGGTATAAATGTGCAGACTGTTGTGAGCGATATTGTTTATTTTCCTATTTATTTTATGGGTAAATTACCGGCAATTTTTGCATTCTTTTAACGATCCGATGCGACAACCTTAAAACTCACTAAGTTAAATTCAACTGGAAACAGACTTAATTATTTTCTTCACCAACAAATTTCGTAAAAAATGACTAAGCAATTTTACTACCCTATAATATTTTTCGCAATATTTATTTCCTTGGATTAGGCTTAATTAAATGGCAATAATTATTTTCTTCTCCAGCAAATTTCGTAAAACGTAACAAATTTATTAGCCTATAACATTTTATTAATTAACCGTTCCTCTTGCACACCGAGAATCCGTGACGCCGGTTAAAGAAGACGAAAGAAAAAACATCAGCAAACAAAATTAAGCTGTGATAAACATCCGCAAAAATCCATGGCACGGATTAACCGTATAAACGCAAAGCCCACTACACAATTCACAGTGATTTCTCTCCCGCAGCGAACAAGCCCCAAGCCACAACCATCGGATTATCAAAATAAAAACTACCCATCACGATACATAGCAGCGTTATATTAGCAACACCATGAAATCATTAACGCGAGAAATATTCCGCCCAAATTGCCGCCTGACCGTGCGCTTTATTCCGTTTACTGGAGGGTCTTCAGCAGGGCCTCCTTGTTCTTGGTGGCCCACTCCTTGATGGTCAGCGCGTTCTCCCCGGTGACGACGGGCACGTCGTTGCGCACCGCCGAGCACAAGCCCATACGGCCGTCCTTCACCTGGATGAAGAACTCGTACAATCCCTTGGCGTACCACTGCTCCATCTGCGAGTACTTCATCATCTCGTTGAAATCGGCCGCGGTCTTCTGCGCGTACTGCACCTGCTTGCCGGTCACCTGCGAGATGATCTCCGTCACCTGCTTCAGGTTCATCGTCTCCTCGCTCAGCCTGTTCAGGAAAAATACAATTAATCAATAAATAGTCACTGTAAAAAATTTAAATAAAATTAAAACTAAATTTACCAGAAATAAAATTGTACAAAATAAAAATTAAATAGAACTGAATTAAAATATGGAAATAAAAAATCAGGAAAAATACTGGGGATCAACGAACTAGGAACCATAATTAAATTAGACTGCATGTAAATAAGAAGCCGAAAAAAGACTGAAAATCACAAGATTAAATTAATGACTGAAAATTATCAAAAAATGGCCAATCAAAGCGATGAAAACCAACAAGTTAAAAAGCAATCACTGATTTAGACTGGCAATAAATAGTCATGCGGAAACGAATGAAAATCGAGGAATGAATTAATGAATCAGAAAAGCTGTCAATGAATTAAAACTACAAAAAAAAACTCGGGGATTAAAGATTAGAAATTAACAAGCTGAAATCTGAACTCTGGCACGCTAAAAGCCAAATTAAAAAAAAATAAATACGAAATAAGATCACATTCACGTGACTTCCAGCAATTGTTTACAATGTACCAACAAATTTTTGAAATCATTTGTTCGTACAGAAAACCCAAATGCATTCATCTTCGCAGTGAAATAATTTCATTAAAAACTCTTTCCTTACATTCATTATTCTGATAATTTATTTCATCATCATTTTACCGATTTGAACAATTGATATTCTCCATATTATTTGAATTAGCTTTCAATGCTATCAAATTAATCAATATCAAAAGGTAGTCTGCGACTCGGCGCTCACGATAGCGGATTTTATGATCTCGTCGAAGCTCTATTAAATTCCCCGATGATCTGGTCACGCTATGTTGCGTGCTTCCGGCAAACGGAAAGCCGGTTTTATTAAGAATAACATTGATAATTTAATACTGCAAAGAATTCCCCGAATGCCACAGTCAAAACAAATTTTCTCTCTACCGGCTTTTACTGTATGTGGTTGCCCTTGAAAACAGAAGGACGACGCTCTCAGCTCGGTCTACCGGGAAACGCTTATCGCACGCGGTCATCGCCATCACATTACGTGGTAAAATTTATCTTTGGATAATACGAATAAATTTTCACTTCCTGACTTGCATGTGCATAATTCAAATTTAAATCACAGAAAAACATTGAATAAATCGCGCCATACTCGCTGTAATTCCTGATAAGTATCATTCATAAATATGATAAATGGATTTAATATTTCCACAAAAATTAAAAAATATACTAAAACGCTTCAGGCGAACTCGAAAAAAATGCAATAAATTAACTACGAAAATTTAAGGAAAAAATAATAACTTCAAAAAATACAAGGGACAAGTTCAAAATAATTTATAATCGGCAAGAAAATATCTCGCGAAAAAGTTCAAGGAAGAAATAAAAACAATTAGCGAAAATTCATGGAAAATTTCAAAAATACTACAAAATAACTAAAACTCGCAATAAAATTCCGGGAAAAAAAATTAAAAATAAATGTGAAAATATTCCTACCAGTAGTCCTTTCCATGGTGCTTGCACGGTCCCTCACGCAGGACGGTGGCGGCCGTCTTGGCGATGTCCTCGGCGGAGATCCATCCCACGCGTTCCCCGTCGAAGAAGTCGTTGACGGTGCCCTTGTGGATGAAGGTGAACATGTTCTCCATGAAGACGTTGTTGTGCAGGTTGGTCCACTTCATGCCGCTGGCCTTGAGGTAGGCCTCGATCAGCTGATGCCAGCAGTAATGCGGATCCGTGGTGTCCCAGTCGGCGAAGATGCCCAGATGCACGACATGCTGCACACCGGCCTTGTACGCTGCGTCGATCAGTGTCTTTGACTGCTGCAACATCGCCACGGTGTAGCCGGTGATCAGCATGACGCGATCCACCCCGTTCAACGCCAGCCCGAACGTGCGGGGCTCATCCAGATCCAGGAGGACGGCGTCCTTCTTCTCCTTCTTCCATTTGTCCACTTGATCCTGACGGCGGGAGGAGTAACGCACCGTCACGTCGTCGGCGAATTTCTCGAGATTCGCCACGATCTGGCTGCCGTTGGTGCCGGTGCAGCCCAGCACCAGGATGACGGGTTTCTTGTTGTGTCCGCACGGCATGGTTGGGTAGGGTTCCACGGAGAGTAGAGCGGAGAAAAAGTTCAAGGGCAAATGGAGGAGAAAGAGAGAAGGAAGGAGAACGAAGAAATGCGCTGAATGATGGCTGCTGTCTGCATGCTTTATTGAAACCAGTTCGGTATGTGTGTGTGTGCTGTGCGGCGCAGTTGCCTAGGCACGCGATCGATAACAGCCGGCTGTGCGCTGAAAAGGCGGGGCTGGTTGGCGCGATTGGCTGGGAAGGAGGGTAAACCGGTTCGCGCCGGTGCAGCAGAGCCGGCGTGTACGTACAAGTTTATTGCACCGGTGAAGAACTCACCATCAGCAGAAGCGCAGACGTACATGTTTAAAATCGGTCGATGCACATGCGCGGTCGTGTACGTACGTGCTACCGCGAAAAGTGCCGATTCACGACCGGTTTTTGCTTTGTTTGTCCGGACTGCAGTGTTGCACAGCGCTGAAATCTTTCCAGCTGTTTCCGTTGTGTTCGATCCAGGGCCTGATTATGTCAGTCGAATACACTGTGGCGGTTTGCGCAGCGCAGAAATGCACTTCCCATTCATAAAGCACTAACAGCAAAAACAGCGCAAACAATTTACCCGGCCGTCGCGATCGCTCCGGCACTCCTCCGGCCTCCGCGTTTTTCATTCAAGTTTTACGAACTGTGTTTTGTTGCCGCGCCAGTCATCCTGCCTACTTAAACAACATTTCCAGCACGATATGTATGGGGTCGGTATAAAAGAAATCAATGTAATCCACCGTTATTAGTTGATTTCCCATGACAAGATCCTTTTTGAAAGGGATGCTTTTCATTCCATTAATACCATGTAATCCCTACACGTAACTGATCTACTTACTGTATTCCCGTAATCCGCCGTTACATGGTAATTTCGCATGCGGTTCGAAGCGTTATACAAATACGTTACCAAATATGTGGAATATCCTAGTTTTAAAATTACTCGTGGAAATAATATACTGTAATATTACAGTATCATCTCGACAACCATTTCGTGTATGTAAACGTGTCAAATAATTTCCGTATAACTATGTCTAAAAATTTCGAACGATAATTAGTAACGTAAAAACAATTATGTACATAATTCTGGCATTTCGGCGGTACCGTAAAGTGTACATTAATCAAGCTGCGCAACAAAGCGCAGTCAGTACCACACAACAAATCTGCGCACTTCTGGTCACAACGTATTCCTTCTCTTGGAAAACACCATCCATTATTTGATACAAAAATGGAAACAAGACGACAAACGTCTACTTATACTTATATTTAATCACAACTCAGTAGGCTTCAGCAGTATATTGCGTCAAATATTTTGGGCTGGTATACGTATCGCATTTATAGCAATATTAATAATGTAAGTTACATATTGTATGTACAGTACGACGTAAGATTCAATAAAAATTAATATAGATATTATGTATTTCGCAGCTAGTTATGGTTTGTACTTTGTATCGATTCAGACGTGGTATTTACTGTTTTTCCTTGCTCTAAACTGCTCCGGGCAAACGATGTCTGCTGAATGAACAGTTAAATATTTACTGTACTTCATTGTGCATGCTGTGTGTTATTGTATTGTAGATGAATATTAAATCTTATCGTAATTGTGCTTGCGTACTTTTTCGGTTATTCTTACAGTTAGATTTTTTAGGCTTCTTTTCATATCGTGTACAAGTTCATGTATAGCACGTACTGTACATGAAATTTTACACGATACTCTGCACAATAACAAATACTGTAATAAAAATCAAAATTAAATAGCGTTTTCAAATAAATAAAATCGTAATAAAATCTTTTAATTAACATCCTCTACGATGCCGTACATCGTGCAATTTGCCGGTATATAGATATAAAGGTGACCACAGTACAGCGATGCGGATAAGTATTAATTTTCGTTACGATCACAATCAGTACGCTGCCATCCGCAAGATATTCATTATGGGTCAGTTAAAAATACCCGGGCAATCGGTTAAAAGAATGCAGCGGATGAAACACGGCCATTACGGATAAAAATAGGTCAAAGTGGCGCGGCCGGAGACTTGCCGGAGATTTGGCATCCGTCAACCGCAGAAAGCACGCACACTGCATATATGAAACTTTAATATATTAGCCCAATGTAGAGATGTAGTGCAGCCCGTAATTCCCCGGCAACATAATCTCCCACTTAGCAATCGTTCATCCACCCCCGGAAGACATCCGCCATTCCAGCACGATTAACTCCACCACCGTTTGTACGAGATTTCAGCGTGTATTGTACCCGCGCGGACATCCCGTGTCCAAAAACATTTTATGCAGTACATGTATACATTTGTGTGTACAGCTTAGGACAAAATGGTCGCATACCCAACATCTCCACATTCAGTACGAACGCAGCGCAGTGCACTGTACGACTGAGTTCAAAATATCCGTTTCGTACAAGTGCACTGCACCGCTTGCGTACAGAATGCTGGGTATGGGGCTATGCGACCATTTAGTCCTACATTGTATAGGCGTGTGTTTGCCGTGCACAGTAATTGCGCGATGGGAAATGATTGATCTGGCGCAACCGCCCACCGCAGCCGCATCACTCTCCGGCCTCTCTCTTGAACTGCGCAGCTGGCGCTGCCGGCTATTATAACGACGGGCGCTGTTTAGCTTCCGGTGGCCGCGCGCGCCCAGGAGAATGGGAAGCCCTCGAAACTGCGACCCATATATTGCGAGCCGGTCGCTGATGTGGCTTAATTTGCGTTAATACGGTCGTGTAGCGCGTGCTGTGCTATTGCCCCCTTTAATTCCCAACAGAATACTTTATGTATCTAGAAATCCTGGTATATTGATCATTATTAATGTGCTGGATATATTAGTACATAATTACAATAGTACGACTGTACGCGTATTTCTATTTCGCAGATGTTATTTATATAATACTATTACTGATTTATGGTTGGGAATTTTATTACGTTGATCAGCGTGCAGTAATTATGGAGTTGGGTGTGGTGGCCGTTATCTTGTGGTTGCTGCCGATCTTTGCCGGTTATACGGTGGAGGCCAGTCCCGATGCGGAGCGGTTATTTACGTTTTTAATGCGGGATTATAATAAGTTTGTCCGCCCGGTCAACGAGACGAGGAACCCATTGAAGCTGCGATTGAGTTTGAAACTGATGCAGTTGATCGGCGTGGTAGGGATTCTGTTGTATCTGTACTCTTGTAAAGCGGGTTGGCGAGGTAATTGTGTTACGCGCGTATAAAATGGATGTTGTGCTTTTTATCAGGATGAGGTTAACCAAGTTATTACCACGAGCGTCATCGCAAGACAGGTACTGGCACTGCAGTTAATATCTATACATGACTTATTGTACTTAAATTTTGTTTATCGCTTTTTGCGAACACTTAAGGTAACACGCAGTGTATTGTATGTGGACAGTGCATGACAACTTGTTTTTGAGCTCTACCCTAGAGTGAAAACAAAAACAGTTGATGTTAATTTATAAGCAGCACTGTTTGTCACTTAACATAAATAACGTAAATTGTTTGAATTTCCTTATCTGTAACTTATAACGTATTCTTCTAAATATTCACTTTCATGGTGTTTCTGGAAACCAGGAAGTACGTACAAGCTTAAGTGTTCTGCAGAAGTAATGTACTTGCTTGTTTGTTTCTGCCAAATGCTTTTCCCTTTGCAACAAGCTCGAAGTTGTATGAACAGTTTATCTTTTTTTCAATAGCAACGCCGCATTTGAGTACGTGATCTATTATGAGATTTGTCATACAGTACAGTTTTATCATTCATATTACAAAGCGTTTCGCAAAAAAATGTGACACCGGCGCCGTACAAACTGACAATAATTTGATAGCTCCAGTTTCCAAAATTAGAATCTTCTATAATTATTATACAGGGCGCAGTTGGCGGGATGTGTCAGTGTCATGACATACTTCGTATACGAGTATGCAGTGTATTAAGTCATTAACATGTGCCGCAGACATGGCAAGACTACAAGCTGATGTGGAATCCGGAGGAATTCGGCGGCATCACCCGACTGGACATCCCGGGGGATCAGATTTGGTTACCGGATCTGGTGTTGTATAACAAGTACGTTGTTGTAAGCAGCTTATATCCGGAGGGATATACTATTATGCAAGCCGTGGCACAACAGGATAGTACAGGGTTAATTATATTACGTGAACCGCGGTCAGTTTCATACCGTAAACTCCGTACAATTTTGGCATTTACAATATAATTATTAATGATTAAAACTACTATCATTAAAATTTCATATATTGGCCTGCGGTGCAACGATGCCTATAAATGCCTGTACATGTGATGTAGCCACAAATTCACAATCACAAATGTGCGAATACTGCAAATATTTTCGGCAGTAAACTTCTTATTAAGTGGAAATATTCTTTTACGCAATAAATGATGTAAAATGATTTTGTTGTTATTAAAAACATGCTGCTAAGTGCTTCTCGCCAGTGTATTTAAACTTTTATTTATTTAGTTTTATTTAGTTCTATCTGTATATTATGTAGCTTTTGCTGAAAAGTACAGAGTACAATACATATAGACTTGTTATTTATTTTATTTACCTGTGTATTTTGAAATAATGATATCGACATTAATGTTATAGTGCGGATGGAAATTACCAAATCACTCTGGTCAGCAAAGTGAAGGTGAACTATACCGGGCATATCGAATGGGAACCGCCTGTCATCTACAAGAGCTACTGTCAGATTGACGTCCGCTATTTTCCTTATGTGAGTTATGTTATGTTTGGTAAACGAGTCCACATCCCCGTACATAACTGTGTGGTGTGTACAAACGGGAGCTATTACTTTGACCAGATTACCATTGATTTCTCCCCCTTAATGTCATCAGTAAACCTAATCAATCGTGAACTTAAAGAGTCCCATGGGAGCCACTCGGGGAATTGTCTTAAAAGGCGCTCTTCCCTCGTGCTGTAGTGGTAAATGTGCAGCCACTTCTTGATACTACGTAAAGCGCTGAACGAGTGTACGGCGGTTTACCCGACTTGCGCAGCTCTTTAAAAATCAAAGCTGATTGGTGTGTTTATCTTTTGCAGGATAAACAGAACTGTACTTTAAAGGTACGCTTATAACTGTAAACCATTTATAAAAGTACTTTATACATACTTCTATAAATAATATACACAAGTAATATAAATTAATATTAAATAAATATGTAGATAATCGCTAGATGCCATAATACTGACATTTGAATAAATATTTAAAACAATAAAAATAATAAATAAGTAAACTGAAGTAGTTATACGCGTGCATACATGATGACCTTTCTCCTGCATCTTTCGGCAGTTTGGTTCGTGGACGTACGATCAGACGCTGGTGGATTTGGAACCGGAACGGGATTATGTTGGTGATGCGCTAAGAATTCAATACGGCATGGATTTATCCGAGTATATTTCTATGCATTTATTTTCTATTAATGTTGATACTGCATAAAGCTGAAGGATCCTGAGTGATGTCCACTCTTTTTGTGAGCAGATTTAAGCGGAGTATCGAATGGGATGTTATGCAGACCCAGGCATGGCGCGACCGGGTCGTTTATTCCTATGGACCTTACGTCGACATCAAGTTTGAGTTTATCATCCGACGAAAGCCTTTATTTTACACCGGTATGTAGTGAATTAAAAATTAATAAATTTATACGAAGTTTGTACGATATGTAATTGTTTTTGCCATGATACGCACAAAAAAGATATAAATAATGAACACGAAATGCAAAAGCGGAGCAAATTACGGAATTAATAAGTGACAAGTGTACGTAAAAAGTGTACGTATCCGCATCCTGTATTACTGTAATTAAATATAAGTAATACAATAATGCTATGATACAGCATAATTTAAGACTTACTTTATTCGCAATAATTTAAAGGCGAGCATTGCTCACAAAATACGTTCAAATAAAAAATTTAAGATATCGGTAAATGTAGATGAGATAAAAATTCGATATAAAATAAAGTTATCACTCCTATATTATTGCAGTGAACCTGATGATTCCGTGCGTGTTGATTTCTTTTCTGACGGTGTTCGTCTTTTATCTGCCGTGTGATAGCGGCGAAAAAGTGACGCTGTGCATTTCCATTCTTCTGTCGCTGACGGTGTTCGTGCTCCTACTAGCCGAGGTAAAAAAACTTTTGTTATGCGTTTCAAATAATATTATCACATAACATTCGATTCATACGCTAGGAAACGACATCCGTATAAAACTTTTCACTTTTAATCTATACTTTTTTGAATTTTAGTGTAATATTTTAGATCAAACTGTACGACTATATTTTGATTACGTGCCTATCGAGTATCGACTCAAGGCGGCCTTAAAATTCTTGTGATAAAAACGATACATGAAATTTGATAAATAAATATTGCTAACTGCGTATAAATGTACATAGGTACATAGTACATGCAGGCGGCATTTCAGAAAAGGGCGCTGTTCATTAAAAAGTTTACGCTGTGCTTAACAGTAGCATTTGTTAATAGTATTTCCGCTTCTTGATATATTTAATTTATTTGCGCAGATAAAATAACTTATTTGGCCTGTGCTGGTCTTGGTTTAAACCATAGTAATTGTTTTTATTTGTGCTTTGCAGATCATTCCGCCGACATCTCTAGCGGTATGTGTAATGTCTAACTGGCTCTTCTCATTTCCAGTAAAATTAAGGGCAGGATTTTTATATAAAAATTTGTTGATACAGGTGCCATTAATGGGACGGTATCTCCTGTTTACCATGGTTATGGTGACATGCAGTATTGTTTTCACCATCATTGTCATCAATATACACGTAGGTGCACATGGTGCTACCAAATTATACTGCGCATCTAACGAAGCAGATTAAGCTGTTGCGATTGTAACGAAATAAAGCGCTTAATGTATGTGGAATGTACTCGTAGTAGCCAGATTGTTAAGCTACTACAATCATCTTCGGCACTTTCCAGTTTCGCAATCCGGCCACGCACAATATCAACCCGGTGATAAGGGCCATCTTCATTGACTACCTTCCGAAACTCTTATTAATTGAACGGCCGACGATGAAAGACGGAGAGGACACCGAGCACGAGACGGCGGCGGAACGCGATTACGAGCGGGAACGACAGCGCCGGTTTCTCCTGCAACAGCCGGGTCTGCTGGGATTCGCCAGTCCCCGGCGCAAAGATAATATCGAACTGAATCGGGATGCACGGAAAGCCATCGACGGAATTAATTTCCTCGTGGAACATGTCCGCGAAACGCATAATTTTGCCAACGTAAGTATATGTACATGTACAGATATGTACGGTGAATACGTGTGATGTCTTCTAAAAACTGAATCACACACAATTTCGACTAGAAAACACTTTCGTTTCAGCTACATATGTGCAAAAAACTTTAGATTAATTTGCAAAATATTTATGATGCTTCGTAGAACTGATAACGTTTTGTTTAATGCCTTCCTTTTATATAGTTTTTTTATTAGGTCAGGAAATGAATGATGTAGAAGTTTGCAATACGCGATAAATTCAAACGACGTGTCGATAAGATGATTATGCTTATTCATTCTTTAATAAATCTCGAAACAAATTTGGCAGCTGAGTAATTCGTGCAGCCTACTGGTGACTTTTCCCTTAGGCCGTTAACTTTTATATACGAGGGGATATCAGTAGCGCACCTAGATAACCCCTGTACTTGCTGCCGTCAGCCGGCTGGAGGATGACGTTGTGGCTATACATGGTGCTTTTGTACCGCGCCAGATTTAGCCATATGTATTGCCGTAACGTCACACTCCAGGTGGCTGACGGCAGCAATACAGGGGATTATCTAGGTGTGCTACTGACATCCCCTCTTATTTTATAAAAAGCTCGCGGTTTAGTAATACTCAAGAAATGCTGATGACCTTTCGTTTAGATCATCACGCTTAAACTTTTCTAGATTACTTCATAGTTCATACAGTACAGCATTCGTCTGCGGCGCGCTAGTCATTGCGCATTATATACTGACGACCTTTCATGTAGATTGTCAAAGACTGGAAATACATTGCCATGGTATTGGATCGGCTGTTTCTCTGGATGTTCGCCGCGGCATGCTTAATCGGTACAGGAACGTTAATACTAGATTCCCCCGAACTCTACGATTATTCCAGCGAGCCCATACCGAAGCGGTGTGATATACCCGGTCCCATTAAATACGATAAGTGGATCTGTTTTGTTCCCGAGGAAGATGACATTACGTACTGATGACATTGTGGCTGGTGCTCGTCTTGTTTTCTCAAGATTTGACAGTGACCAGGGGATTTATCATTAACTACAAATTGCTGTGCAAAGGTCGTGCTGGATCCTGACCAAAGTACTAAACCGTAGAAGCGAATTTCCTCCCTTGGAATTTCATTAAAGAAATATGATGTGTGATAAGGCTCATGGAAAATAACTACAGTAGCAGTCAACAATAATGTTGTGATATAATTTGTTTTCATGGCACGGCTGATGAAACGTGTACTGTAGATGTTTGGTTAGGATTTTGCGCGAAATATTTTGGATTAAAAATGTAATTAAACAACCGCATTCGAAGTAACACTGCCGTAAAATTAGAGAGATGTGTATGGGCGATTTACATCCCTCGGCCGGCTTTTGGCACGTGCTTAGATCATTACGAAATCCGAACTGCACTGGATTCCCTTACAGATAACAGACCACGTCGTATTTTAGTATACTAGTTATTATTTTTAGTGACCTATACCATAGTATTCTATCTAACACTTAATGTTTCATTTATTTAGTACAGCATTAATTTTATGAAGTATGTATCGTATTTTCCGAATACTGTGTGCTTTAACTAACGAGCAGAATGTATTATGCTTCCAGGAGTTCGCGGTCGCAGTTTAAGTAGATATTATCAATTTCTACAACCGCAACAGGTGACGGAAGCAAAAGGTCACGCGATAAAATCTTAAACCCACGTGCCAGTTTGCATGCGTGCTCACGTGAGTAACCACAAGCCGATGGCGGTTTTCGCTCTTAGGCAGAAAATTATGTGAATGATGAAACATGTTAATTTTAGCGACGAGAATTAAATACAGGAAAAAGATAATACCCGCAATATAGACAATTCTGTACTTAATACTGTCAAAAGAAAGTTTTCCTGTATTGCACCGTATTTCGGCGTAAAATGCAACATGATTCATCCGTCGCATTCAAGAACAGCTTTTATCGTTCTACTTCTTTGCTGCTGACTGCGGATACATGAGGAAAGGTCACCCGCCGCATAGAAGAGCGCGCTAAGATGGATCCGTCTTGCTCTTGCGAACTGGATACGGTCTGGCTCTTCCATCCGAAAACGCTCAAAATTTTCCGCCGTAACTCCGAATTCAGAAAAATATAAATGCCCGGATTGATGCTGCATCCTGCAAAATTTCAAGCATTTGAAGTTTTGAACACTTGCAGCTGCTACAATATCTCCACAATACAGGCAACCTTCAATCTCGTAAATTTTATGTACACTCCACTAAATCTACATCTACGCGCGCATGATAACCATGCATGCTTAACTGGTGAAAAGGTCAACTAGCGTTTTCCTTATATCATTTTATCCTGTTGACATCCAGTGAAATTTACTACCAGTGCTAATTCGCGCTGCATAGCAGATTATACCACGAGAAACGCTCCTCAAAGCGTAGGCAAAGATTGATAATTATAATCTTGGTTTAATCTTTCATTTTGGCCAAAAAATGGGCCAGTTTGCAATCTGTCACCAGGGTAGTGTGCATGCTCTAATTCGCAGAGCACATCTGCGTTTTCTAAAAATTTTAATCAACGTCAACTCGTCAAAGCATGCGCCGTTTCATAATCGACAGGAGCATTATTAAGGTGAGTACTTGTACATCCGTTGAATGGGCGGTACGGTATTACATTACGCTCGGGTCACCGATCCTTAATGCGGGGAAAGTAAACAGCCACATGCGCAATATATTTGTTTACCTGGCATTTTCACTTAATTAAACGCGTCGACACTTGTTCTACAGCAGATACATCTCTAACGTAATTTAGCATACAATCAAGAAACAAGTGAAAAATTAAACAGATTATTACATCAACACTATCGATGAGTCGTGACGCATTGTTATGTAAACACGAGAAATTGCGTGCAACATTATGAAAAGCTAGAAACGTCAGCATTATTAGCCGTAATAAGCTGTATCATGAGGAATCTTCCCCGCAAAACATGCATTAATTTCGAGAGTAACTACGCTTTTACCGCGGTTGAGATATTTTGCTAACTGACTTAAAATTATTACTTTGCAGCAGCCGCAGCAAAAAAAATGCAAAAAAAAATTCAGACCAAGATTGTAAAGCGTATTGATAAAAAATGTTCTTACAGGCCGGCATGCGGTTACAGCTACAGATACGCCTCAATCGTGATCTTGATCGTTGTTAATTTTCGAGAAAATTGACTAAAATGGATAACTGTGAGAGATACTTTACTTACTTATTGTAAGAAAATAAGCCAAAATTAACCAATGCTTGAGTAGTAGATATACACTTCGGCGTTTTTCACATTAATATTAATTGGAAAGCATTTGCTTACAATTTTTCAAAGAAATAGGTGCTACTCAAACTACTGTACTTCGCTTCAGTGCACACAAAATGATTCTTTATAGCGGTACAGTAATTGCATAATCTAAACCATATTACTGTTAAGAAGGTGGACTCCGTAACGAAGTATAGGCTACAGAGTACATCGAAATACAATAAAAACAATAACGACAAATTCCAAATGTTTTTTGAAAAGGAAAATGTTAACTTCCGTCAGCTGTCACTGTTTAGGTAGCCGACGGCTAGAGTGGCTGATACCCATTTTTTAAACAAAACCATCGCAAAAATCATTGCAGTGCATTATTTATGAATTGGGAAAAAACACTCACCAATCCACATCCACAGCGACGCCAGCTGTCCGTTGGACGACTGGATCATCTTAATACTGGCCGCCACCCCGACAATGGCATTCGGTAGGTAACCCAGCGCAAAGGCCGCGCACGTGAGCAGCGCCGTACGGGTAGCACGCGCTTCCCGCCGCAACCGGACATCCCGTCCCGATCCCACCGATTTCCGCTTGTTGTTGCCGGGAGCCAGACGCTTCCGTGAGGAGATCTCAAAATACGCCACCAATCCGTAGCATATAACCATAATGGCCAACGGCACAAAGCCGCTAATCGCTTTATAGATTGCCTGGTACGTATAATTAACGTTGACAAAGCCGCAACGGCTGGACGGCGCAAAGCCGTACTCGCCGAAGACCTTAAAAAACGGGAAGATAAAGGTCACGGCCGGGATTATCCAGGAGATCAGGATCAGCATTGCAGCGCACACGGGAGATTGGAGGTTCCGTTGATGGGGAAACACCACGACGAAGAGACGGTTGGCGGCGATGGCGCTGTGGGTAAACGCGCAGGTGGTGGTTAAGGAAAAATAGGAGAATGCGGTGAAGACGCAGAAACTGTGGTACTCTCTACTAGCTATGATACTCTGCGGTCCGACGATGGTGGAGAACGCCGCAACGGGTAGATAAAACGCGGAGAAGAATAACGAAGCCAGGGACATGTTGCAGAACATGAGGTCATACGATCGTAAATTCAGTAATAATTTTTTCCGCGTGAAGAGCAGCTTGTGAAGAATGTACACCGTGCTGAAAACACTCCCGAGCGTCCCTGTAATTGCAACTGGGATCATGGCATATCCAAATCCAGCCAGCGAATTAATGGATTTAATTGATGCGTTAAGTACATTTGATGAATTCATGTTAAAGCGGTTAAAACTATTCGCGCTAGGAAAAACAAACAAAATAAACGCGAACGCAGTTTCCCGTTTTGCGTTTTAAAGGCGGTTTATATCCAGTCAACATCCGGGATATCCACGCATCGGGGCGGGATTAGTTAGCCAGAAATATAAGCGGTGACATTAGGACGAATAAATCGAAACCAATAAGATAATACAGAAAAATCCCGGCGCCGATGCGTGCGGGAATTTCTTTAGGCGTTGTTACTATACGGTATTCTGTACAGCGTAACAAAAACCGTTTGTCTAGGAGGGAAACGCGACGTCACACGCTGCTACACAGAAGTGGCACAGTTCAGGTCGTCTTGTGTCAACAAAGGGACGCTTAGCTAATCCCGGCACGCGTTGTATTATGTGTGTTCCGCACATTGATGAGCTGGTGATCCATGCCGGTGCGAACAAATTCTTCCTGTTGACAGATCAAAAGAAAAAATGACGTACGGAGTGGCGATGTCAATAAAACATGTCGAACCGAGTAAATAATGCAGTGGTGCGTTTGTTTGATTGTAATCTCCTGCTGCAGAGTCAGGATGCAAATGAGCATCAGGCAATCGGAAATCACTAGATTGTCAGTCGAAGCAAGAAACCTTTATATACAGGTTCATGTGATGATAGGTTCGCATAAACAAGACGCCGGTATAAGCTAGAATTAACTGATCGAATAACGGTCGCGTGCTCCCTGAAAGAGTGCGTTTAGCGGCGCGTATAACGGTCGTAATGAGGAGGATGTACACGCTGTATCCCAGTACGGAGGCCCAGCGGCAACATGCCGGTTTAGCGCGTCGACGTCATAATCTGCTCATCGGAGACATGTGGTGTTATTAAAACAGTGCACGCTGTTGTCCGATTAGAGGTTTGTCGCGTGTCCCTTAATTGTTTTTGGGCGGGGAATTTGTTTACGGCCTCATTTAGGAGGTTATTCCTGGTACTCATCATATAAAGTTATATACACGCATAGTATCCTAATATCCATGACCAGTCGGACTACAACAGAAACATATTGCTTTAAACGTCCCTCATATGCAGGTGGAAAACGACACGAATTAATAACAACAACGCTTTATTTTTTCATGCTTGCGTATGCCGGGTGTGCTACAGAATTGGCTTCTATGCAGACCGGTAGATAAAAAGATCTTCAATTTGGTAATTTCAAGTTGGGGAGGCTCGTATCCCTTAGCTGACCATGCACAGACTTCAGAGTATACAAAAAGGTGCGCAACAAATAAAAAAGTTTTTGGTTATGAACATGGCGTGTCAACTGTACAGACTGCACGTGCTATCTTTGGTTGAGATTTGTGGCATTTGTGATTTTGGGGGTGAGGGTTTGATGAGGTGTATCCGGTATCCTATGTCGGCATGAAAAGGAAAGGGAGTAATCAGTGCACTCCATGTCCATGATAACTTCGTCATCCCTTTTACAGAAGGCTGACTTGGGCCCATAAATGCAGTCTTAAAATTATAGAGACGTAGATACAAACATCCATACTTAATAAATAAGAAACCCAAAAACTATAAAAAAAATTAACACTTCCTTGTTTTTCGGATCGGAAAAGCTATTATGGCTGTGCAAAATAAGCGACTAAAAACGTTTCCCTATGGTAGTTTACTCTAGGTAAACAATAATTTTCTTCTCTGCATGCAAGTACATATACAGCTGATTATAAGTCTTCGAAAATTTGTATCACAACAACTATGCACAAGATTGCAGAAACAATAATGCTGTAAAAGAATATTCGCAAAAAATGATGGAAATACAAGCGCTAGCTTTTGGCGGTGACTCCGTCACACCAGCTGTCGTTTTTAAAATAGCCGCGCCCTAAAGGGACTGTTGACAGTGATCAGGCAGTAAGTGAACATTTTACCCAGAGCGTTTTAATGCGACAAACATTACATATAAACAAGAAATTCTCACCATTGTCATTCCTGAGAAATTTCCCACTCCACACCGTCAGCACCGGCATTTCGACGAGCCGCAATGAATATCCCCATCTTCCCACCCCGGTGGACAGTTAACTGGCGGCGCGGCGTTGTTAAAGGGAAGATATTCGGGAAAAAATAAAAATGTGGGCAGATAGCGCGGCATCATGAATATCTACGGTTCTTGCACAGTGTCGTGTAGTAAATATTTTTATGAATATTTTATCTGTACTGCAAGTCTGCACCATGCGAGAATATGCTGCTGTTTTGCCTTTTATAAGTAAACCTGTTCGAGCGATTGGCAGATGTGTAAAGACTGCTTATATCACTGTTGGGAACGTTCTATAACTAACGTTCTCTGCACAGAAACGGCATGGAGAATGGCAACTTCCTTGTTCCGGAATCGCCGTGCCAGCGTAACACATGGCACGGAGAAAACTTGGCCGAATGATGACACGGAACACACGCGTCAGTTTGTCAGCGTCAAAATCCAAACAACAATTTACCGTTATATACAGAACAGATATTCTGTTGTTTTTTTATTTGAGCAAACCCAGTTCTACAAATATTTTTTCATTAATTTTGGTACAGGTTTCTGCGACGTTGCGCCCCTGTTTATGATTGCTGATTGCATAATGCTGATAAAAACTGTAAAATTCGGATCAAAATCATCTAAACTCATAAAAATATTTGCCGAGTTTCCACAAAAACCGGACGGTCAACACGAATGAAAACATGGAAGGACTGATCTCGTAGTATAGATATTATACGCATAATTCAAATTTAAAAAAATAAATAGATTTAAACGTAGAGATTGCGGTCGGCCCACGAGCCGGGAAAATGGCGGATCAGCAGACGGCGCAGTTCATCGTAGACGAACAGGTACATGGCGAACGGCAACACAGCAAACACCCAGGGGAACCTGTTAAATAAACATAAAAATGTCAGCAACTTTATAAATAAATGATAATAATAAAAATTATGGTTTAAAAATCTTTATTTATATAATTTCAATTTTTTACTGAAGGCAGTCATCTTACAAATAAATAATCAAAATTGTTTACTTCAAGGATGCGCATTTTCGGGACAGGAAGCACTGACCGATTGGCAAAATAATTAAAAGATTAATTTTTCAAACAAATAAAATAAAATTTGCCAAAATAGACCGTATTCTGACGACACACATCTTCGCAGAAACTGCAGTATAAAAAACAGTTATTAGAATCTACCATTATTTTTCGTTTTCGCATGCAACACGTGTTATAGCAGTCAGCGCAAACACCTACCACATTGTTCCGTATCCCAGGGCATCCTGTAAATACGGCGTATAGACGCAGAAACACGCCAGCGCCAGTTCAAACAGCCATGCGCAGGGAACGTGGTGATTGCTGTAAAACACCAACCGCGAATAAACACATTGTCGCTGTTCTGCACATCGCACATTTGATATACAACCATAATTTTCACATTTTTTGCATTTGCCGGAGAGGTACCACATTACAATAAAAACAGTCGAAGAACACTAACGTTAAACATTGTAATCCTGTCTAAGTAATTATTCTTAAAATTAATAAAGAACTCCCAACAAATGATCTGTGTTAAAAAAATATTATTCTGTCATTTATACAGAAAATGTACCTGAGAGGTTTCTGGAAGACCGACACACGACGACAGCGTCGCAGGCATAAATGCACAATATTCTGCAGTACCACCGAAATGAAGAACGCCGACTGTACCACGTGTTCCAACTGTTTCCGTTGAGCAAAATTCTGTTCAACACAGGGAACAAATAATTAATCCACGACAACTGCATTTTTTCGGCAAAATTCAATGCAAAAAAACAGTGTCCAGTTTAATTAAATAACCGACAAAAGTAACTGCAACAAACATTCAACACAAAATAATACTTCACTAAATTCGATAATAAATTAGAAGGATTACTACGTTAACGACTACAGCTAAAGAATAATTTATATTATTACCACATATTAGTTAAAAAATTACGTTTTGTTTATTTACGATACATTAGGCATTTTGTAAGTAATAAATAATTCTGTAGTTTGATGCGTACCCATTCCTGTCCAAAGGAATCTTTGAGATCAGTAATAGTGCTGTCTTCCCACTCCTCGCGCAAGCCGAGGAGACGGCGCGGATAAAAACCCTGCGTCGTATAAATGACGAAGTACACGAAGAAGGCCCCGACGCTCTCGATGATGCCGATCTGCAGGTACACCGCCTGCACCAGGTTGCTGGTGATCAGCCGTTCCGAGCGCTTCCGCGGCGGCAACTTCATGGTGTCGCTTTCCGCCGGTTCGTACGCCAGCGACACGGCCGGATACTGCAGAAAATATACACATCAGCCATCCGTACTTTCAATCAACCAAAAATATTACTGGTAATATTAACCCTCAAAATTTTAACATTCTAACGTTCAAAATCATTCAATGACATTAACATTTTAAGATTCAAAAGGAATCTAAGCACATTAAGCATTAAATTAAACCCGTATTTATTCGTACATAACTTATTCCACTGGAAAAAACTGAAACATGTATAAATAGTTACAAATGTCGCAAAATTCTCTTTGGACTGTTTCAAGCTTAACTTAGGTTAGATTTCGGACAATCACCTTCCTTGAACCACTTCACTACGATCATTTGATAACGAATCGGCAACACTGCAGTGAACATTTTGTCGGCCATTTTTTACCATGAAATTCCCGAGTACGTGTACTGCCGAATATTTTCTCAACCATTTTGTTTTCTCGAAAATTTATTAATTTATTACAATTTTTTAAATTTATTTAAAAGATTTAAAAATTATGCTCCAATCTAAGTATTAACTCGTTCCAACTATTTTCTACGCGCTCAATACGTTAAACGGAACTCAAACATCCTTATCCCCGACCATTTCACTACGATGTTTTACGTTTTGTACGACTCGATGGCTCACGCTTTCATCGTCTTACTAGTGTAAATTTACGCAGGCTTATTGTTACGTGTCCTGGCTTATGCAAGATTAAAGAGTAGTAATGCATTAGGTAGTTTATTTTATTGTAATGGCTATTTGACGGTTTTGCCCGATTACCCGTATTATGCATTCGAACACACCGGTTCGGTTAATTGTAATCTCTTATTTATAAAAACTATAAGTACTTACTAGTAAAAAAGGCTTACCAAATCGGTGGCGCAGTTGAGGAGGATCATGGAGATGGTGTACAGTCCCAGCGGGCAGTTCAGCACCAGATACAGGATGACCGGCGCCGCCTCGGGAATATCCGTCGTCATGGCGTAGCAGCAGGTCTTCTTGATGTTGTCGAAGATCATGCGGCCCTCCTCGATGCCGTTGATGATGGAGGCGAAATTGTCGTCCATCAGGACGAGATCCGCCGACTCCACACTGACGTCGTTCCCGGTGATCCCCATCGACACGCCTGCAGCGCACAGACAACGTATGTTAATTCAGAACAGCCCTACACATTAGCCGCCCGAATGCTGACTCAACCGCAGAAAAACACCCCAATCATGGAAAAACTCATTCAAAAAATTTTGTACAGATAATCACGCAAATGCGGCGTTTAGGCAGCGGTAAGACAAACGGAAAATCAGCTGGACCAGAGGCGGGTTACGGTAACGTATACCATCAGACCGTGGGTGGTGTAGTGTAGGGGCTACTACGTCGTTGCGTACGCAGTACAAATTAACGCAATACACCACTCTCGATCATTTTTGATTTTTTTATGGCAATTTGCAAAGTGTGGAGAATTGGCATATATATTTCTTCACAAGGACTGTTGAAATATTTCTCGCAATTACTTTATCTTTCGACGCAGCACAGGCAGAAGTAACACACGAGTTGCAATTCCAGTCTATCAAATGGCTATGTGAGACATGATTTCTCACAACAAAAACCCATCAATTTAATAGTTTCTAATAATTTGTAACAAATTGGAGAAAAATTTATCTGGCCTAAATTCTAGGGAAAAGCAGCATACTATGTAAGTACTAAAGAAATGCTAATATTTGGCGCAAAATTGATAACTGGTCAAATGTTTTTCAAATCTTTCACGTGATTCTAAAGGTAAATTTAAAACATTTTTAATAAAAATATATGAAATACTTTACATTTTTCATATAGAATATTAACGAGAAAAAGATTGATAATATTTATTATTCTTCAGATATGCATATTTTATAATCGGTGATCGTTTTAATATTTTATGATTATTTTATAAATGTTGGAACATAGGATGCAGCACCAAACGTTGCCTTTTTACGCATGAATAAATATGTACATCAAAGGGTGAATACATCCTGTTTGTCAGCTTACCGATGTCGGCCTTCTTGAGGGCGGGCGCATCATTGACCCCGTCGCCCGTCACGGCGACAATAGCGCCGGTGCTCTGGCAGGCCTCGACGATCTGCAGTTTCTGCTGCGGGGAGGTGCGGGCGAAGACAATCTCCGGGTAGGTGGTCAGGATCTGCACCAGTTCCGCCTGCGACAGCTCCTTCAGGTCGGTGCCGTGGATGACAGCCGCCGTGGCCTCCCCGGGCAGGATGTCCTCGTAGTCCACGTCGCGCTGCCGCGCCAGCTCCTCCACGGTGTAGGATTCGGCCGAAATGATGCCGACACTGCGCGCGATGGCCGCCGCCGTCACCGGGTGGTCGCCCGTCACCATGATGACACGGACGCCGGCGCTGCGGCACTTCGACACCGCGTCCGGGACTGCGGCGCGTGGCGGATCCTACAAACATTCAATCAAATAAAATTAACAATTTTTGTAATAATTATTTTCAGTCATCAAAATAACGGAGGAAACCGCTAAACTGTGCTGAACTGTGAGATGACAAATTCTCCCTTCAACTGAACGAAGATATCGCCAGTGTTCCCAAAATTAATTCTAACAAATTTTCAGATAAAACGCAATCAGTTTCATTAAAAAAATTATAAGAAATAACTACGTTAAAATAAATAATAAAAACGCACGAGCAGCTGTTGTCCATTTTAAAAATGCGCTGAATTCCTTATAATGTGGTTTTTTATTTGTAAAAAGCCAACAACGCATAGGTAAAAGCCAAAAAGTTAAAAACGAATAGATATTTCAGCAGAAAAAAACAAGTCAATTCATTAGTAAACAAATACAAGCAAATAAAACTAGTATGTACAGTAAATAAATTTAGGTTTAGTAAATAAAATAATAAAACTAGGCTTTAAATAAGTGTCTATACGATTGCAGTACGCGGTAATGACGGACACTGACCAGCATGGACATGAGCCCAAGGAAGCGCATCCCATCCAGCGGGAAATTCTTTTCCTCCACATTAAACTCGTACCCCTCCGGAAACTCCGTCTCATCCAGCTCGCAGTCACAAAACCCAATGACGCGCTCCCCCAACTCGCCCAGCTCATCGTACATCTCCTGAAATTTCTCCTCCCACTTTTTCCCCAACTTCTCCGTCTTCCCGTTGACCAGAATCGTCTCGCAGCGCCCGACAACGACCTCCGGCGCGCCCTTCATCACCACGAGGTGGAGCCCATCCCGCCGGTGCACCGAAGCCTGGTACTTGACGGTGGAGTTGAAGGGGATCTCCGCCAGCGGGGGGCTGTCCTTCCGCGCTTCCGGGACGCGGTCGCCGGTGATGATGGAGAGGAATTTGAGGATGGCCGTCTCGGAGGCGTCACCCTCCACCTCCCGGCTGTTGATCGCCGCGTCCGGTTTGTACTCCTTGAATTTGGCGCGGAGACAGAGCGAGGCGGCCTGGATGAGGATGGGCATGCTGGGGCTTTGCTTGCGAAACCCGTCAACTAAAAAATTCAGACCATTTGGAATTACAAGTGACCAAATAATTACCATACAAATCTGAGAAATAATGCACTCAGTTAAAAATATACTGCTTGATAAATTAATGACAAAAAATCATTTAATAAAATAATAAGCAAGTAATCAACGCCAAAAAAACAAGAAATAAATTGACGATTTCAATCAAACCAAAGTACAAAAAAACTGTGCAATGCTGGTACAATAAAAATTAAAACGCAATATTTGAAAGTTCAATGCCGGTACAGCAAAACAGTTTGAAACCTTAGAAAAGGTTTGACTCTTCGGATTAATACAGAGATTGTAATTTGCAAGATGTTTAAGTTCAGAGATAAAGTTGCAGAAAAAAAGTTTTATTCGTTGGAACGTTTACTCTTAAAGTGCCACAGCGATTACTCCTTTTTAAATACTCGATTTCAGGAGACTGGCCGCGTTACAACTTGTTAAATGTTTTACAAACGATTAACTCTAATCGAAAACTGGACGTTTAGTGTGTTAAGTTTAATTTTTGTTAAAATAACAATTGTTATACTTTATAATTTTTAAAAAGTAATTGATTTTTCCCATACATATTTTAATTTTCTGACGGTGTGTAGAATAAGCTTAAAGCGCATATTTACTGTAATTGGTTGAAGCTCATAATGTCTGAGCCAGCACACTACGAATTCCTATTATATACTGTACTTATTGCTCGGTAATTACAAGAGTATTGTGTGCGCAGTATGGTTCTTAATTCGTATTAGCTTTTTTTCTGCACGGTAGAGTACTTCCTGTACCAGCCTAGTTTATAAAACGTTTTACATACCAGAAATTAAATTCTACAAAATCCCACTAACCGGTATCGGGCTCGGTGGCCGTTTCATTCAAGAACACGGCATCGTCCACCCACACGTGCGAGATGGTCATGCGATTCTGCGTCAGCGTCCCGGTTTTATCCGAGCAGATGATGGAGCACGAGCCCAGGGTTTCTACGGCTTCTAGCTTCTTAATCAAACAATTCTTTTTGGCTAAATGTTTGGCTGCCAAACTCAGCATAGCCTACAATTTAAATGCCATGAGATAACATAATTAGTGTTACATCAATAATTTTTCTATGAAATTTCGAACTTGACCAGATACTTTGCCGGTCTCAGTTTTCCAACCAATGTTGCCTTGTTTTTCTCATAGGACTAATAAGAAATTTTACTAAGTTAAAAACTTAAATGTAATAAGATCACCACACGAGAACCATGTCTTTACTAAATTGAATAAGAATAAAATATAAAAATAATAATAAACGCTTTCAAACTAACTACTCCAAATCCTACCAATAATAATTATTAAAAATATATCGCTCATAGGCATATGCTCCATAATTCTGAAATACTTATTTTGAATCCAACAGAAATATCCTTCAAGTCCAACTCCACATCCAGCAAAAAATATTCGCCATTTACGTATAATTTCTATTTTCGTCAGCATTTAAACCGACTCTTAAACCGGTTTATTATTGACCAGTTCTGTGTTTCCGCCTTCCCAGTTTCTGCTGTATTTTATTCTAAGAAACAGGAAATTTGCCATCGTATAAATAATGTCAATATTGCTTACCGTGACCATGATCAACAGGCCGCCGGGCAGATTTCCAGCCATCAGGCCGATGGACAGCGTGATGACCATCAGCCAGTCGACGCCCATGGAAAATGCCGCAATCACGTACAGGGCCCCCATCGTCAGCGCAATAAACCAGATAATATTCACACAGTGCTGAATTTCCACGGCGATCGGCGTCTGCTGCGGTCCCACATTGGCGGTTAACTTGGCAATGCGTCCCATAAAGGTCTGGTCGCCGGTTTTAATCACAATCGCCGTGCCGGAACCTAAGAGAAAAAGGGGAATTTATTTGCTATCCCATAACAATCACTTCTTGCCGTCTGATAAAAAATATATCAAAATAATGTTATGGTTGCAGGGAAAGAAAATTAATTTCACTGTGACAGCCTGACGGACTGCGGCATTGTAGATGTTGCATAGAAGTGACTAAATCACCAAATACCAATAAATCAGAACTTAAAACGAAGGACCTAGTAATTAAATGATTTCTATGTCAAACATTTTTCAAGTCTAACGAAAGGGAAAATTTAATTTATAGCGCTAAAACGATCGTAGATCATTTAAATATGAAAAATATATTCGTCGAAAGTTGGCTGGCTGATTCATAACATCTGCCGCGAAAATCTCCGTTAATAACAAAACAAAATAAGTATTACTAATCAAAACTTTCTACAGGCAGTTTCGAGGCAGGCCGGCAGTTTTAAGGCAAATGCATGTTACACACTACATAGACACCAATTAATCATTTATATTTATTTATGTGGCAGTAAGGAAGTCAACACAGCCCGAAGGGATGCACCAAGGCGAAGCATTTACTATCTTTAAAAATAACTGCTAGTACTCATTATTTTTTTACTTAAGCTTACCTTCCACAGCATGTGTAGTGTAGAACATGAGATTGTGCGATTCCAGTGGATTTTCATCGGACTGCGTTGTCCGTGACAAGGGGTCATTCTCGCCGGTTAGAGCGGAATTATCCACCTGAATTCGATTACTGTCGTTAATACTGTCAGAGTGTCAGTCAAAAATGCAGCCATATGTATCGGTATAAAGTCGTACAGTCTAAAATAATTGTTAAAAATCGAATTTTATTATATATATATATAGCACAGTAAATTACTTACAATAAGGAAAACACCTGCAATTGTTTAACGCAGATGCAAAGCGTGCACTGATGTTTCTGGCGCTAATACGATAAATGCACCGCATAATATTAATTTGCTTAAATGGGAAAATACAGTACTTTTTCAGGTCTTTGTGAACTTATCTGAAGGTCGCTTTGGTTCATGACATTTTGTAGCCAGATGATTTGTATAAACAGGGGCGAAAGCAGTTCGTCCCCGAAATATCCAGTTCTAGAGTTTTGGCTTTAAGAAAATTCCAAAAAGTTTAAATGCACTCCGGTGTACGAAGAGTCTCATTATGGACTGACCTGCTGTAAATTTCATGTGAACGCACATTTGCATGAAGACCGGTTTTAGGCACACCGAACCACGGCTAGCACAGCATTTTTTCAAATTTCATTTTGAAGTTTAAAAAAAAAATTGCACCCCTGGTTCGGTGTAAAAGCGATCTTCATATTTACGTCCATTTATGTGCACATGCACAATCTAAAGAAGATCTGTCCATAATCAGACCTTTGGTACATCTGAATGCATACAAACTTGGTATTTTCTTACAGCCAGAACTTCCCAACCGGATGTTTACGCGCACAACGGTTTTCACAAATCTTTTGCTTTCAAAATAAATTTTACAAGCAAAAAGATGTTTCGGAGTGCGCAAAAGCGGAAGTGTTTGTGCACGCGTATGAATTTGGTACCAGGTACCGGGTCACTTCCCTTTTAATTACGTGGGCCACTGTGATCGACTGCCGCTACACTACGTTAACCACAATGACAAATAATTATCTGACAAGCTATTTGCTTTGTGTGCGATTAGCGCGAAAGTGGTTAGATCTTAAGAAAAGTTGAAGTACCGGGTGGCTGAACAAAATGGCCGTCTGTTTTGTCATGGTGCGCTGGATCCGTCCAACACTGAATTGACGTTATCCTAGTTTCATTCGATAAAGCAATGCTTTTAACATAAAAAAGTTGAGTTAAGTCAAAATTTCAATAAGGCTGAAATTTTTTATGAATTGTTTTGTAAAACTGGCCGGGTTTGGATGATGTCCTAGAAGCGAAAATCTGAAATTACCCGTTTCTAAATTAAAAATACTTGCTATTCAACTAACGACATTGATGTAGCTTATTTTACTACTTCTGGTAGAGGGACTGTTTCTCATTTTTCAACTGTAAGGAACTGCAGTATTCTAGCAACCGTGCTTGGCCATTGCAACCGAAATTACTCGAAAATACCAAATAAAAAACCGGCATTTTTCGAAAAAGTTACAATATGTCATGACTGCATAACTCGTTCAGTGTACGCAGCATGACCACAACTTTTTTTTTCTATTAAAAGAAAACGTATTTTGCTACATGAAACAGTTGAAAATATTCAAAACGTCTGTAAGAGGAAGAAATGGCACAAGATTTTATGTTGTGCGAGCTGGGACACGAAAAATCTGCAGACAGTTTCATTCTGCATCATTGCAAACGAAGACGGCTTAATTTGTTCAAAAACTTTTTTGTAGGTTTTGTGGCTAATAAACTTCTCTATCGAATGAGCCTAAACAGTTTACGGTGCGACAAAGGGTCTGCGAAAAACAAACGAAAACAGGAGACGGCCATTTTGTTTAGCCACCCGGTACTGTACCACTCAATAACAGATCTTACCTTCAATCCAGAATACTTGATAATCCGCAGATCGGCCGGCGTGGCGTGTCCGCTCATGACCTCGACGATGTCCCCCAGGACCAGCTGGTCGGCGGCGATGTCCTGCCATTTCCCGTCGCGCAGTACCTTGGCCGCTTTCGGCGTCATCTTCGTGAAGCTCTCCATGATCTTCTCCGAGCGGTGCGTCTGCCAGTAGGAGAACGTCCCGGTCAGGAGCAGGATGAAGGTCAGCACGATGAAGACGTACATCTGCCGGCACACGGTCCACATGATTATCACGCTTGCTGAATCATTTTTCTGTACGAGTACTGTAGTATTACCACATCTTTTGTGTGCTTATTACTTCATCAATAAGCGAGGGAAATGTTTTGGCTGGCGGGGAAACTGACGTAAATTCTGCTGCGGTTCAGACGTAAAAACCCGCTGGCTGTATTATGCAGCGCTAAACGATGGTCAAATGTGATTACATTTTTCCGATTATTTGCAGAAGTTTCGCGGTCATTATTCACTGGCAGCGTCTCGCTTGTTTTTGCATATTAGATTGTTATGACAAAGCGTGACAGCTTGTTGACCATTTTTTGCTGGAGATTTCTGCGAAAACTTCCAGTCAGAAATAAATATTGTCTGTACGCGGGAAAATCTGAATGGGTGAATTCTGACAATTGTAAACAAGGTCGACTTCTTGCACACTGAAGCTGCTGTCATTAATAATTATTCAGCTGCTAATTTTTGCGACTGCTAACAAATTGACGTATCCTGGTTATTATCGTAAATTAAGTAAAAAATCTCAGAACCGAAAAAAACTTAAATGTTCTTTTTCGAAGTTTCATAATGATACTCCTTTTTGTAAAATATGTGAAATAATAAATTTTTGCTACAGTAAAAAAGCTCTCATAATGTTTGTTCCAAAATACCAGTAATAATTAAATTTAATGCAATCTCAACCAATAAAATTCTCATTCACTTTCCAGCTAGCGGGAAGCACAGCTGTAAAATTTAATTTAAAATTATATATCGAGTGGTGTTTTCTTTGTTTTGCGGCAGCCGTGTGTATGCCGCCGTTTACAACTGTGTCTTGCACAATCCGCTTTGGTTTATTCAGAGTACATACTCGTACTCCTTACTTTGCAATCAGAACTACATACTGCACAATCAGCTGTGGACTTACATTATCCATAGCCGGGACACCGTCGCGAAACTGCATCAGGTAGGCGATGAGGGAGGCCAGCGCAGCGGCCAGCATTAGTGGGCCAAATCCGGAAAAGGTGGCCTTGAACCACTTGAGCACTTCCGGATCCTTCTTTGGTGGCGACAGGGCATTCGGGCCGTTCTTCGTCAGACGACTGGCAGCCTCCATGCTGCTGAGACCCTAAATAAAACCCATACATTCTTTTCAGTTATTCATATCTACTGAGTTTTCTGCCTATCTGATGTATATCAAGTGCCGTATCTTTATTTCATTCATTGATTTCTGTTCCCTTCTCACCATTCAAATAAACCACATTTCCAGACAATACGTGCTCTATAATAAATTTCCATAATACACAATCCAGAATAAAAACGATAATAAAAATGTATGTACGTGCTGCAAGTACTAACACACTAACCATTGACCACTATACGAGTAGGCGCACACAACGGCACATAAGTGATAATTTACAAAATTAAATCTATTTTATAATTTACCGATAGAGACAAATTTTATTCAGTAAAACAAAGATAACAGCATACTGTAGTCTACCACAAACAAAACAGTCATTAAACAACTTCATTTTTGATGCGAATGCAACTTTAAATAATATGAAATTAGCTGACAACAATTCATACATATTATTATAATTAAAATTTGGTTGTGAAGAATTAGCTGGCACTGTAATAAAAAGTTAACAGGAAGTTTTAAGAATCTTGCCACCGTAACAATTGTAGGTTTTCCACGATCTGGATTTACGCCGTACGTATTAGTGACGGTATCACTTTTTTAAATTCACATCAGCGAACGGTTAAGAACAAAGTAAAAACATATCAAACGAGTACAGTACTGTATTAACGTTAGTGAAAACACATTCAATAGTCAATACATTAACGCTCGCACTCTTTTGACTGCCTGGAAGACGCATAATTATTTCGTATACCGCATAAGTGTTTTCTTTCAGAGAAACCTCTATTTCTGTGGAAATTAATTTTCTGTCAAACAAAATTCATGTTTCCCGAAAGCATCTCAACTAAAATTCTCAAAGTCAGGAAGCGTGGAGACTTCCGGCGCTTTAGCAGTTGCAACCGCTCAGTGTGGCAGCGTAATACGATTTTCGCCTTGGAAGATTTAAAAATGCCCATTCCTTTCCTTTTTGATTTTCGTCGCAAACACTCACCATGTTTACTCTACTAGCATATTGTAGAATTTGTAAAAAAAACACGAAGAAAAAAGAAGAACCATTTCAAGGCGTTAATGCGCCCTTGGAACCAGACAGCTGCAAAGTCCACGAGGCATACAAAAACGCGATGTAAAATCGAACGAAAAAAATACTACGCGTGGACCGCATGGTTAAACAAGTACAAGTAATAACACTGCCCACAATACTGCAGGATATTGCACGCAAATCATTTCAGCAAAATGAAGATGGTTCGCGTTAAGCGTACCTTTTCAGGGTCGACTTCCAGCCTGCGGAACAGATCGTCCACAGGGATAAGATGCTCGTCCTGTATACACGGGAAAAGTCAGCAAAATACACTCAGACCACTGGCCAAACGAACTCATCACTCGTACCATGTTCATCTCCGCGGTGAGATGCACGATACTCCGCTGACGAGCATCACGCGCGCCCTCCCTGGGCCGCTGCTTGGCCACTTTATTCCACAATCCCTTGATGGTGGAGTGGCGCTCCTTGGAGGCCTGCGGGGGATGGGAGGATTTCCCGTGATTCCGCGGCTGCTCCGCGTTAACACCGTTCAACTGGGCATCAGACATATTGCACTGATCGTTCAACAGCGATGCATTAAAGAAGAAAAATAATATACTCAACCAAACAATCTCAGCACAGAAATTTTAGCCGGCTTGTTGCAAACCAGCAAACCAAAACAACATTATTATTATATAGGTACAGTTTTCGGTTACACATAATTTGCCCCAAACAAACTGATTGTATATTTCGGAGAAAATGCAGCCATGCACTCGGCTAGTGTCGCCGATGCACTGATAATAAGCACGGTGCCAGCAGCGCCGATTTTTGTGGTTTCATGGTAACGTGCATTCTCAAAACTCAAAAGTGAAAAGCATGTTTGTGATTCTCTGCGCCTGCAAAATGGTTGCAGTTATACAGTTGGAGCCACTAAAGAGACAGAAAGGCAGAGAAAGGGTGCATGCAGATTCTGCTTGCTCATTGCTGCACTCATGGTCAGTGCCTTGCCTGACCAGTGAGTGTGGACAGTGGCTAGACAGCCTGCAAAATTTGAAAATTGTACGTACTGTAGCATTGCACGTACATAGGTACTGTACTCGTACAGAATACATAGCCGCCAAAGCCGCTTGCGCAACTGTCCTACGTTCAGCCACTTTTGCAGTTCATTCACATTGTACGAGTACAATACTAATAATAATTTATTATATTATAATAATACTGATACGAGAACAATAGGTCATTGCTATTTACTACTACTTCTACCGCAATAATTATGATACTTGCTCTTCTATACCTTTTTGCACCGTGTCTGTATGATCGTATCGAAACGGTCAAAGAAAATGTCGGCAAAGATTTCAGACAAAACAAAATTCACGATTTTTCCACATGCTGTAGTGCACAGCGTACTTATACGGAAACCGGTTTTCTGACCTACAAGCACAGAATCTGATTTGAGTAACGTCCTGCTGCTATGATTTGCATGCCTGCTTTATGTTCGAACGGCCTTCGATCCAGACCGGCAGACCTCTGTTGATGTTGGCGTCCTGATTGTATCCCAGCCACCACGCATCATATCTTCCATTTCATGTTCCAATTTCATGTTCCATTTCATCTTTCATCTTCCATTTCATCTTCCATTTCATGTTCCTTTATTACGAGCAAGTACCTTTCTTTACGACACATCCATGTACTGTACTGTACTGTACATGATGTACTGTACTGTAGTGTATGTACTGTACATGATGTACATGATTTAATATAAATATGTAGTGTACGTAACAATAATAAAAAAATGGCAGCGCCATGTCGTAGCAATAGGTTCAAGTTTAATGGCTCGCAATAGAAAAACAACAACCTTGATGGAAAACGTATGAACAGTTCAGTGATACGGTATGACAACTATGACTCGATCACTTCACAGCATGTGTTATTTGAATAATCGCGCCATCTGCTTCAGGAAAATAAAAGTTAACACGGTATGTGACCCTGAAACGCAACGTTGTTATTAGGCAGCATCTTAAAAAACATGCAAGCAGATCTTCATACCAATTCGCATATAGTAAGGGACAAATCCTCTCCAGAGCCCTAGAAGTCCTTTGTTTCTCACTACTTGTCCCGTTGCTTCCAAAACACCAGCATATTCCGGTTTTCCATTTATTGTCTTTGCATTCAGAATCCTGCAACTCATGATTACCTACAGATGCTGGTATACACAGCACACAGTCAAAAACGTTAACGCTTCTAAAACCTTACCTGAGCGACATCCACCTAAAAATGCAACCAGAAACATAGGAAAAGTGAGAAAAAATGAGGAATAAAAATGAGAATTACAGAGGGGAAAGCGCTTGTCAGAACGTGAGAATGTGACAAAAAGGTAAAAAAATTTACCGGCAAAGGTAAATTTACCGGCATAAGTTCAGCAGTAGTGACGAGACCACTGATCATGCTAGCTGTAAAGTGGTAAGGGAATCCATCCTGGAAGTATCCTAAACAAGAATCTATATCAAAATAGTTCAACGCTTTAATACGCAGTTGTTAATTCCTCCTGTTCTGACTTCGACTTTATGTGCTCGGTCCAGTTAATTCGAGTCTTACCCGATTCAATAAAGATTTCTTTAGACTGTGAATATGAAACCAGTTGTGCCAGGTCAGCCACCATTGCTCTGCCAAGGGCAGGGATATATCCCTAAAACGAACACCAAATATATGTAACTAGCTTAATGGTATGCACAAGCACTATCTCGCCCATATTTGACAAGCCAAACTTGAGAAATAAAAATTCATACTTACACCCCACAGTTTAATGAAACCTTCTTCACGCGCGATTCTGATTAAAGCGTCAACGACCTTTCTGTATCCACATCGCTGTGCGAGTGGCAAGCTGAAAATCCGAAGCATTGCCTACTTCGAATAATATGCGACATTCTTCCATGACCATATTCTAGCTCTCATTACAACCAGCATTCAAATTATTCTGCAGACCATTCACTTTCTGAAATGTGACTGTGACCGTCACCTTTGATCAGCCATAATTTGAATCATTGCTGAATCGGTGGGTGCTCCTATGGTGGCAGCTATAATGCCTGCGGTGAGAGCGATTCCTGTTTTGATGAAAACACCAGGGGGCTGTCCTTCTGGCCTTCATGTCGAAATATAACAGTTACGAAATTTCGAACCACCAAGATTCGTTTCATCAATGTTTGTTTCATACGCATGCGCGGCGCATCGCGCATGCGGTATACACCAACGTCACCACTTACACGGAATACATTTCCAACATATAAGTATGTGTATACGCCCATTCGGATCGTGGAGTAGACGGCTTGTCGGAGTAGACCGGGCGAAAGGCTTTGATATAACAAGACAGGCCACGATTAATGCGACCAAGGCACGTCAGTCGCATATCACCGACCATCTGATGTTAAACGTATGCAGCAACTTATACACTGGAAGTCTGGGACTGCGGAAGCTGTGCAAAACCAGCACAAGGTTATGAATCTTTCTAATGAAAATTATGTACCAGCTTTATTTGCATTTCATTGGATTGTGGGACGTATCATTGATGTCCACGAACTTAGAAAGTGAAAAAGATAACGAATTTTAAAGGAAATTAACGTCATGCATACCCAACATGATCAATTTGTTCTGCGATAAATACATTCAATTTGCTACATGATACAATACCGATTACCGAACCTGTAAGCGTTGAAAATCTTCAACTAACTATGCAGTTACCCGGCATAAAATCCCGAAACCCCTTCGTCGCGAGCAATATTTCCAGTTACTAATTGAAAGAGACTCATTGAAACCGAGCCCAACAGTAATCGGCAAACGGCGAAATGAGTTGACACAAACCTTGAAAATTTGTGATCCTGTGCTCCCGTGCTACACCACTCCCCCTGCAATAACAAGATAAATTCCGTCAAATAGTTATTAGTATTACTTACAGTAATCAGCAGCGATTTTCGGGTAGTTAACGCACCACCTAGGCCGACGTTAGCTCCTAAAGCAGAGAACATACGGCGTCGCGCCAGGTGTTTCCGTTTCAGAGTAAACTAAAATATTAGTAACCATAAAGAAGCGACTTTGTCAAAGCCACTCGTCTCGGCGCGTTTTTTCTAAATTGTGCGGAACGCCAGTTTGCCAGCAGTTTCTGCCAACTCCGGTCACCAGTTCTGATTCCCAGTTACCGCTCAATCGCATTCGGTTCTTACCGTGTCCCACGGATGGACAACCTTAAAGCGAACAGCGGAAACGACATAAATGAGTGCGAAACCGTGAAATCAACGATCGCATAAACGTACCAGAGTAGCCATACACCTGAAACAACATAACTGGTATTTAAACCCAGCATGGCTTCTAATTTCTCCGATTAACTATTATGAACAATGCATCAAAACAAGAAGTCAACTTTAATCAAACGAAAATGTTTTGCCAGTAATTAAGAAAGCGATTGCCAAAAAAATAAATATCCACGCTTTATAGTTTCAAAACCTTTCCGCATTTACCCGGACAATCCACCCAGCAGAAACTTGACAGGAGGGGGAACTGGATTAGAGTGGCCATTCATTTGCGGAGACGATGCCACGAAAGCCTGCTCCGATTGATGTGCTCCAGGAGGATGCGAAGTGTATGTCAGGATCGTTCTCATCGTATCCTCGGTGTCGACTAATAGCAACCATAACTCTATGACTATGTTGATATTTTCATGCACAGTGGATTAGTAGGACTGCTGGATCATACACAACTCCGGTGGAAACAGTGTAATTTAAGCCGCAAGGTAGGTACTGACTGTTTTTTCAGCTCGGAATGGCAAAACAAATAAGTATATGTGTACATGCATGTTCCGGTACATATCTGCACATGCAGTTCCAGTACATATTTCGCTCTTTCTTGTACCGCGCACTGGCATTGTACGGTAGTATTTTTATTGCGATACGGACCAATATGTAAGTACTTGCGTACTTGCAGTTTCAATGTATTTATATCATCACTTTACATAGGTTTTCAGTATATTCCCAGGTTTCAGTATATTTCTGAACGACCATGTTCCGTATGTAGTTGTTCACAGTATCAGCATCATCTCATGTACCTGTCGAAAGGTCTCGTCATGGAAATGATACAGTTCAGTGATGACATGCTGAAATTGCGGCAAGAGCTGCGCACCGGACCAACAAAGAATCAATCAATGAATTTTCTATTTTATACAATGCTCTTCAACCGATCTTCATTCTCTACAATACCGAACACAAAACGTGGACATCGTTGGTTATTGTTTTGTGCTGGTTTGATGCACTACTAATTTGCTTTATGACAAACACGTATAAAAGCTGCTGCTAGACTGACAAAAATGCGGGCCCGTATTCCAGACAGACTTGTTCTGTAGATATGGGGGACAATCACTCGGATGAGTAAACGGCTAGTTCGATCGTTTTCCCGGGAGCAACTCGTACCTAAAAGTGTGACACAGATTACAATGCAGAGTCCATAAGCGTCAAAAATTGAGAAAACACCTGAGCCGTTGCAACAGCTGTTATCATGCAATAACTAATATATCATAGTTAACTTTACCTTACATTTACAATAGAGCCTATTATTTAATTACACATCTGTCATATTAAACACCTATTTTAGTTATCACAAAATTAATGATAATAATGATTACAACGATTGTATTTTTTTATGTACAGAGTATTTTGTTATAAGTTTTGTGTTAGCGTTACCCATTAAGCCATAACCAACGGAAATTCCTCAAGCTTTTTTAGGTAAGTATCTATGTATTCAACTACTGTACTTAAAGTATATTTTCATTGATTAACCAGAGTGTAATGAATGTTGAATTATAGCACAAACTTTGTGTACTGCGCCTGTTTAGAATAACGTTTACCTTAATGTGGTACGTTTGATCGGGTGTCAATCGGTACGATTCGGCAACGTATTCCCTAAATGGTCCTTGGAACATTTCCACTTCTCTTCGCATCTGCGGATCGGAAAAACTCGGTTAACTTATTGTTCATAAGGTGACATACACCACATACACCGACTCGGTGAGAAGTGCAAACAGAGTACAAGTTTCATAATATTATATGTACAAGAAACAGCCTCGGCTTCGCCTCCGCTTTTCTTGTGGTCTCTAGTCTACGGCCGGTTTATTCAAATGATTTCAATCAGCTATTTAGTTAACATCTTATTCCTTCAACGAAATAAAATGATCCGAAAATACGCTAAAACGCAGACAGAATAAAAAGTGAATTTATGGCTTTTGTGCACTCAGACGCATTCACTTTCACTAGCTAGCGGTTAGCTAGCGGGCTGTGTGCTCTGGATAGTAGTGGTAGTTCGGTCACTCTTTCACCTAGCGGGCTGTGTGCTCTGGACAGCAGCGGTAGTTCGGTCACTAGGTTAGCTAGCGGGCTGTGTGCTCTGGATAGTACTGGTAGTTCGGTCACTCGTTCACCTAGTGGGCTGTGTGCTCTGGACAGCAGCGGTAGTTCGGTCACTCGGTTAGCTAGCGGGCTGTGTGCTCTGGATAGTAGTGGTAGTTCGGTCACTCTTTCACCTAGCGGGCTGTGTGCTCTGGACAGCAGCGGTAGTTCGGTCACTCGGTTAGCTAGCGGGCTGTGTGCTCTGGATAGTACTGGTAGTTCGGTCACTCGTTCACCTAGTGGGCTGTGTGCTCTGGACAGCAGCGGTAGTTCGGTCACTCGGTTAGCTAGCGGGCTGTGTGCTCTGGATGGTAGCGATAGTTCGGTCACAGCTTGGCTCTGTGAAACTAAAACCGTCTGGCCGGGTTTTGGAATATGGGCATTCAGAATATGGAAATGGTTTCTGCTGATTCTATACGGGAAAGCTGGGTTCGTGAATCCCTTTTTATTTTTTGTGGTAATAAAGATCTAGAATGTACAGTACGTACCGTAATATTATTCCGTATTATACGGAATAATTTACGGACTGTAGATGCTGATTATCATTAAATTTTATCAATCACTGTCTTTAGTTTTGCTCGGACTGAAATGAAAGGTCAGCCCGTTTGAACGATTACTATGGTCAGTATCTTTTATAGCTGCCTTCAAATGGCTTTCAACGATAGTTCTTATTCTTAAGTTCTGTTTTTAAGCGCTTTAAATGTAAACAAAGCCATCCACTGGCAGTATCGTTTGTGCTACTGCTAATTGGCTTTTCTAGTTTTGTAGAAGTAAAAGTTCAAACCTTTTTGGTTTGTTGATCTAAAAAGGGTACCAGTTTAAATTTACGGATTTTTTGCTCCATGCAACAGGACTTTGAAATTGTTTTCAAGGTCACCTTGAGCTTTCTTCCCTACCGGCACCGGCGTCTGTGCACGGGAGCCGGAGCAGATATTACCAAAACAAAATGCATGTGACACAGTTTCCAGACATGCTGAATCGAATGGCGTTAGCAGTTTTTCGATTAATTTTTTGGTTTGTTGTGACCAGATCGTACGGGGTTTTCCGTTGTAATATAGATCTTTACCTTGATATCTTCGTATAATGTGCAAGGATAAAGCAGAGAGTCTAGCAACATTAACTAAACGGTTTAACGATTTAATAATATCGTTATATCTGGATAATATTAGCATCGATGTACAGAAACTCCAAGCACAGCATGTCGGTAAAACTTTGTAACAGTACGAACAGGGTTCAACTGTATGAGTGCACTGAATTAAGACACAAGCACATTAATTAATTAGCCAAATGCTTTGCTTACCGCATTAGCTAAACGCTGGACTTTGGCATCAGCACGGAATTCCTGTGATTTGGACGACAGCATAATGGCCGGCATTTCCTGGTTATACTGCACAGGAATGTTGTAATGGAAGTATGCATTCTCCTGAGATCCCTCCTGCTGCATGCGCTGCTGACTGCTGGATGAACTGGTCGTGATGGTCGTCTGACTCGTAAAGCTCTGGTTAGCAGCCCAGCTCATTTTTCTACCGAATTAACTGTAAAAGGTAAATAATCAGGAAAGCCAGAAAAATCAGACGTTATTCTATAAGCAGATCGGATTACTAAGGTGCTGTGAAAACTGTGCACTACCCAATTGATCTGGTAAAGGTTTCCTTTCCGCTCGGTTTACTCCAGTCTCCAAGTGCCGGTTGCAGCTGCGCTCAAGCAGCTGACTGCCGCAGCCAAACAAATCATCGGCATTGGTCCGCTTAAAATAATTATTATGCATAGCATTTTCAATGAGCGCTAACCAGTTCGCAGCTATAAATTTAATACCGATGATTCACCGGGTGTTGAATATTGCCATAACGCTATTTTAGAGTGCAATGTCAATAATAATCTCTTTAATTATGAAAACATCTGCACGCGTGGTTGACTGCTGATTGAATTGCTGATCAGAACCGGAAAGGGAAAAGTCAGGCGTTAAAATATAACTGTGATAGCAGCATCGGCGTGAGTCATCGCGGCTCTCCACGGGACTTAAATGCCGAGCACTTGAATGTTTGTTTGTTTGACTCGGTTGAAATGTCAGCTGGAAAAAGACCTGTTTGCCACCTACGCTAAAACGTCAAGTAAAAGAGCGGGAGTTATAAAAAGCCGGCTATATGCCGGGAACAAACGTACAGTATCTGTACATGTAGCTAAAGCTGTTAACCGGTTTGCAAAGTTAGCAAATAAGGGAACTATCGGTGTAATAAGGGCAGGTATCGCGTACGCCTTCCGACAGGCAGAAGATGCCCTAAACATTTTGGTACCGCCAACTTTAACCATCAAACAGAAAGGCATCTCATCAAACGCGGTGCCATTAGAACAAACTGAAAGGGCACTTTCATTTAATTTCTATCTGACGCTAACACAATGGACATACGCCTCATGTCGTGATCAGGAAAATGAAAAACTGTAAGAGGATTACTTAAATTTTGCAGGGGATCGATGTCAGAACGCATTTCATCAAAACGCGAAGCAAAATGATCCCAAATTGTAGTTAACCATATATGGATCCGCTTTCGTTTCGCTATTTACTCACGCAGTAAAAGTAAAGTTGAGCTGCGGAATGGATGCAGCCAGAAATGAATCACAGAAATTTATGAATGCGGCATAGTTCTTTTAGGATCGGTTTACAATGCATGCTCCGCTCATCAACATCGATATGTATGTACTATGCATCGTTTTGTCGCAAAATCTTAACCACCGTAATGTTGTTACCCGATTTCTTTCACATGAACTGATGTAGTGTGTTCCCGAAGCCCAATATATCTTATGATAAAGTGTTTTTCGGAAATGTCGAAAGAGTGCTTTTGCGACAATAACTGTTTTGTCGTATGCCATTAGGGATGCGACAAAACTATAACAGAAAAACTTCGTTCAGCTTACTTCATTCAAATTAATATTTCTTAAATGTTTTAGTGATGCTTTTCTCTCATGGCAGCCTTCCGTAAGTTTCAGACCGTCTAAGGTTTTCGAACCTCTTTCTGGTTCGCTGAATTATCTTTAAGAATAGAAAATTCGGACAGACTCAAAAAAAGAAGTATAAAGATACTGCGGGATACAGGAACTAAACGACAGATGGTTATAACTGATGTGATGTCACGTTGGGTTAAGCATTAAAAACTGTAGATCATGAAAACGGCGGTTTCCAGAGCTGCTGTATCAAACCTGGCGACAAAAAGAGCTTGCAAGAGTTCGCTTAGTACGCAGTCTAGCTGTACCGATAAACATTCAACTTAAAAACGGACCGGTTAGTGGAAAAGCAGTTTATAATGCAGTCGTTATCAACGCGGCAGCGGAAATGCAACTGGGTATGTGCACTGATTTCAAAAGAGACTAATTAGTTGACATAACCGGTAATTTCCTAAGGGCACTGCATGCCTGCTGATATTGTCGTACGCAACGTTTTTCTGCTCAAAAGCCATAATACGGCTGCTCGAACTTTCTGCACCAGGTATTTTCCAGCATAATTGCCATGATCGCAACACATTGACGCTGTATTGCCATTTTCCGATCTACAATAAGGAGCGTCTTTCTGTTTTGTGATTACAAGCTATGATAGATTTAGCCCGATTTGCTCTGGCTGAAATGATCATCAAAGCTGTCTTCTTTTCTCTTCTTCTTATCCTGATATCAGGTACGTCTGAACGTCCGATACACCTGAATGGCTGGATCACGACTCACGACTTACGAGTAACAAACCTTGATGTTAATCCTGAGTAACGTTTTAGGGAGCAATGTGTTGCCGATGGGTCCTCGTGTATCATCTGCACAGGAGATGCAGCTGAGTAACGAAATTCCCAGCAGCCTAATTGGGCTGTTTTCAAACAAGCTGGACAAAACCAACCATATTCGAGCTTTGTGGAACATTTTTGGTAGTACATGCTTATTTGCGTACCGCTTACGCGCCTTCGCCTTCAACACAAATTAATCTGTGTGCTCATGGTCATTGTAGAGCTTCCAGCGGATATGAGTCTCTCTGTTGGGAATGCATTCAGTTTTGACCCGCTTGGCGAAATGTACCAGTACTGCGTGTGGTTCCAGAATGAATTTCAAACCAATCGGTTCAACATTTGCATTCCGTTCCGCTTGAATGCTAAAGGGACTTTCAAAATTAATCAGGATACTTTGGACGTAGGTACTACAAGTTCCTGTTCTTATGCATTTCTCCCGCATCCGGAATAACTGCATAAAAAATAAATGCCTCGTTTTTTCTAATATTCTAGGTCATGTTTATTCTAATGAACGGAGTGATATCGGTTGTAATACGCAAAGAAGCCAAATCAGAGTTAATCATGACCTTCGCATCTCACGAGCAAGGAGTTCTTGTGGTACGTCGGTAATAACAAAAGCTTTTGTCGTCACAGTTATTTCGTTAAAATGCATATGCTAGCATAACAGCAAATTTGATTTATAAAACGGCCCACGTGTTCTTCGATTTGATTTAGAGTTTTAACGGACGTGCGGACATTTTGTATAAACGCAGCATCTACCCTTACATGTTTGGAACATTCCAACTCGATATGGATCGCACAGATGCGAAGACCCTGGAAAAAGCTAACGCGTTATTTCAAGGTAACAATTAAAGTACCTAGTGGGAATTAAATGCGTTCAGATTCGCGTTAGCAGTTTTTGTTCTTCTTTCTGCAGCGATCAATATTACGGATAAATGGACACTGAACGCTTCTCTTTCTCTGATCCAGGGATCATTTCATAAGGAGAATGAATTTTCCATCCGACAAATAGCATCACCGGTGCCGTATCAGGATATGGAGCTGGTGTTATATCCCAACTACACACTATTTTTGAACGGCCAGGTACATTACGGATTTTCCGTTAAATGGAAAAGCTGCTACATTTTAAGCACATATCTGACCAAGCACTTTGAACAGCATTACTTTACGATGACGACATCGCGCTTATCATCCACTCTGCTATACGTACCTCGCGTAGATGGTGGGAAGCGTAGTCTGACCTTTGACTTCGTCTTCAGCCCGGATGATTTAATCCAGGTGAATACGCATGACGGCGCTGGGTTTAATTTGAATTTATTTCTGATGTTGAATTTCTCTTTTTGCGCTGCTGACCTGATTCGTATTTATGATGACATTCTATTCACAAAATTGTTAACAGACAATAGGATCGGAAAACGACGAGGTTCATCTGATCTACAAGCGCTCGGTACCGTGGTTTTATTTTGGAACGTACGAAGAAGCTAATAACGGCGCAAGCAAATCCCCATCGTTAAGCTACTTCGACTGGAAACCCTCACCAGTAGTACTCGTAAATACTACAAACGGTATTTTTTTTTATTTTGTTGTGTTTTGCACCATGCGATGCTTGCAGCTTGCCTGACGCTTCCAACGCCTTCATCTAGACACATCGTGCGACGACGTTCCCGTCAATAGAAGAGTCAAGATCTTCCAAGATAGCATCAGCCGGAATTACGTTTATCAGGATGGTTCGTGCAAAGGGGGAATGTACAATATCCAGTTTCAACTTGGGAGGGCGACACCACTGGATGTTACTAATAGCAGCTATGCCAACGCCACTGTGAGTGCAATAATCTGTGCATGTCTGCAAGATGTTAACAGTTTATTATATTACAATTGGCATGCAGTACCATGTATTACCTAGGTATTGCTATTATCGAACTATTTAAGGTCCACACGGGGAAAACTTTGATACTTTCCTGGTTTATTAGGTAACCGCCAGAAGCGTGCCAAGTGGCGATCGCATCCTTGATCTAAATTTTTATGGAAGCAATACTTCGAATTCTAGCACCAATCAGACGGCACCCAGTCGGCATATGTCACTGCAACTGGTTCCGGTATCCACTGATCCACTTTTGGGCCTGCGCGTGGTAGGTTGAATAAATTCTGAACGAATCATATACCCTGAAGTTTTTGCATTAAAACCAGATCCGATTTTTTATATAAAACACTCTGTATAAAACCTTCCTGCTACGAAAAACATCGAAATATATTTTTGCTTCTGCTCGGTGTTGCGTTAATTGAGTAAGCTACTGTAAACTGTTGTTTTTTAAAACAGCCAAGTACAAAATATAACGCTCGTAAGTTAAACCGATCGAATATCAAAAATATCAAACTGAACTTTAACCAAGAGAGTGTGTGTGCGGCTATTAACTACGAAATGGTTATAGATGTTTTATCTCGCCGACGAGTACAGCATTTCACGAGCAATTGGTCGGTTTCGCCGGGTTGTGTCACCGCTCGTTATGGGGAGATTTCGGTATTCGAACGGTAAGTCACATATAGCCGCAACTGTCGACTACCTGGCTGCCTATATTTCCTTACGATTTGTATTACTTGCTTAGGTTCTATCCTGCTTTCAGATTCCGCGTCGAATGACACACAAGTAGAGATCTCACAGATTGGCGACAATGTCTTTCGTCGCGTGACCAGTCGCAACCAGAGCACCGTGCAGACGCAGATCTTCACCTTTAACCGACCCTTTCGTATCAGTGACTACGATCAAAAATCGACTAATGTCACTGTGAGTTGGACAAGAACTGTTGTTTAAACCATATAACCTGCATCAGCATGTCGAAAACCTGCTCGTTTTGCAGGTGATTTGGCACTATATGGAGATGAACGGGAACGTCGTCGTCAAAGCACACCGTGTGGACACCGGTGGACAGCTGGACATTGATTCGTATATCTTCTCACCGGAAGGCATAACATTATATTCGTGCGCGACCTTCTTTTGTAAAGCCAGTGGGACAATTTTACGTGTTAAATAAATGGATGTATGCATCCTCGAGACCGCCGCTCGGTGGCGTTTTAACATACTTAACACTGCACAACTGCCAGCAGATGGCTAAGCTATGGTGAGAATTTAGTCTGTGAAAATCCTGTTTTCAAAACTTCGTAATAGTTAGTAAGTTACATGAAGGTTGTGATTGATACAACATAAAACTGTGCATAAAGCAAATCATAACGTTTTTCATAATAATATGTGGATTAGCCAGCATTTGCAATAAAAGCCGAATGTGGACATTAAAATTTTAAGCAACAAACTCCCGCATAAGCACCAAACAATTTTCTTTCTCCTGCGATCTTCCCAGTATCATCCGTCATTTGGCACCGGTATCACAATAATTAATAGCTCACTGCTGTTTCCACAGCAGAGATTTTCACTGCACAGCGTTCACAGGAGCGCCTAGAAAATTTCGAAAATTATATCTTCCGTTAAAGTATTCACATGTGAATGAAACTGGGTGTCGTGAATTACTTACGGTAACAACACCAGCTCGTTGCCGGACAGCCGCTGGACGCGGCGGCTTCGAACATGCTGGAGAAAAGCGTTTGACAAACGGCATCGATTTCCTCCAGGGTCACGCATTGTCCCACTGGCACGATACCGTGCCAGTTGGCCGCTAAGACATCCGGTGAACACGACCTCGCTGTGGCGACCTTATTCCCTTCGGTCCGGGCGGTTGGCGTTGTGGTGGAGGATGTAGTGGTAGGTGTGGTCGTAGTTGTCGTTGTGGTAGTTGTCGGTGTCGTTGTTGTGGTGGTCGTTGTCGTGGTAGTTGTTGGTGTCGTCGTCGTGGTGGTAGTAGTGGGCGTGGTCGTTGTTGTAGTTGTTGGCGTCGTTGTGGAAGTGGTTGTCGTCGGAGTTGTGGTTGTCGTTGTTGTAGTCGTAGTAGGCGTGGTTGTGGACGTCGTGGTTGTCGTCGAGGTAGTTGTCGTTGTGGGCGTGGTTGTGGAAGTCGTTGTCGTTGGTGTCGTCGTTGTCGTGGTAGTTGTCGTCGTCTGCGCAACCAGCAGGTCGAAGAAACTTGGCGGGAGCCCTTTCATGGAATTGAACGGCGCCTTGATCTTCTTAAACGGTTTATTCAACTTGTTGAACCCGATGGGGAATCCCACCGGCGGGAATGCGGACGTTGTGGTGGTCGGTCGGGGCGTAGTTGTCGTCTCCAGCATCACCGGCGGTAGATCCTTGAACGCCGAGAACGGCGATCCGATGGGACGGAATCGCGGGTTGGGGATTTCATTGGCCTGCTCCAGGGTGGTGATGAAGCGGAACGGACGCGGATGCCGCATCATGCGGGGAAAGTCGGAGCGCGCAAAGAAGTTGTCACCGGCGAATAAGTAGTCATCGACTGCAACAGATGAGACGCATGTGTGAGCTTGACATGAATCGGTTGGCTGCCTCCGTCTTTTAGGCTCATAAAAGTGAAATGAATGATTCTTCTTAACATCGTGCGTTGTCTGAAGTGACCATGCAAGAACTCATCAGTGCGTGTCAATTTTTATTTTTTTAAGAATAAAATTTTGGTATAGCTTCTGAAAAATTATCAAAGAATTAAACATATTACTAAAAAGCGCAAGTACTGTACACGATTAAAATTTATGTTTTAATTATAAACAAATTAATTTATTTTTATAATAATTAAATTTTTATTTTTAAGTTAGAAAAACGAAACCGAATTTAAAGCCTTCAGCGATATAACGCGTTTTTCCTTTCATCCAGTTTTGCAGTATATAGCACACGTTGAAGAAAATACTACGTATATTTAACTTCTACGGTTCTGCTTTCGCTTTCAGAAAAAAACGATACATGCGTAGAAGGCAGAATTACAGTAATAAGTGCCTACGGTTGATGAAGGCAAGTCAAAGCACGCGTACATCGTTACAATTGCCGGGTTCATAAACAATGTTGTTAAAATAGCTATTATGTCCGTCAGCTTATCGCGTGTAATTAGACGTACGCGTCATAGACAGCTTTGATTTATCTTAAGATTTCGAAAGCGTTCACATTTTCACGCTTTTCTATTATTTCCATGAAAATGTTATTAGGTGCCATTTATTCTCTAAATACCGCAACAATTGGTAGAAAACATTCCTATATCTTTTGACCTTCTTTCTGTGTAATGCATACTAAAACGTATTTTTTTTCAAAACAGTCGCATCATACTGATAAGACACACCGGCAACTGATTTAAATTTCTAAAAAAAATTCAAAAGATTCATACAAACAAGTAAGGGGCAACCAGGCTCGATTTTCGTTCAATTCCGAAAAACACAGCAAATTAAACTAGAGGTTATTCCGATAAACCTGTAACAGGTAATAAGGCATCAGTAATGAAAAAGCCGGAAAAGCGAGTGCAGAAATATTGCACTGCTTTAAAGAATTTAAAAAAAAATTAATTTATATTGTTACTTCATAAACTGTGTGTGGGCGCGATTCTACGTTAGAAGATTATGGGAGTGTGCCAAAAGCAACAATGGGAAAATACGCTTTTGTTGATTGGAACGGAAAGCAGAAAATAATTGAACAGGTACCACTCACCAGAAAGCGCGGAGATTTCCCTGAACCGGCATCCACAAAATAAGACAATGAAAGCCACAAATCCATACATTTTCCCCGATGTGATTATAGACAACCAGAAGACGGCAGTGACCAGCGGTTTATGATAATACGACCTTGAACTCGCTAATATATACGCCAGAATACATTAACGACAACCGCATCAAAATCTATAAAAAACCTTTAACGCATCCGTCGCGGCTGAATAAACAAGGCATATAAAAAACAACCGTCTTCTTCTCGTTAAACAATCTCATTAATCTGCTAAAATCCGTTCAATCAGCAATGTTTTCTCATTACAATTTGAAGAATGCACGGATGACATTGATTGAAGACAATCAGCGCTACGACGACAAGCAATCGCGGACCGGCTACATTGTAAAGTGTAACAACGATCGGCGGTGGCATTGTGTACGAGGGACGGTCCAGTGCGTCCGTTGGGGCGGCTGTTGCAGCGGTTATATTCATAATCGACGGTGTCATTCCGATGAGTACATATGTACCCCGATGAACAGTCGGCGTTAATTGCCTATTGAAAACGCTGGCAATTAGGCCGATTGCGCTCAATTTCTCAAGTGGTGGATTCGTGTGCGTTCGACGGTTCTGATACGAGCCGTAATTTTGCCGGTAATCTTTGTCGTAATTTTGCCGGTGCACAGTTATGACATACAGGAACTAATCCGATGCCGGAAGATGCATGTACTAAATGTACACTGCATGTACACTGCATGTACTAAATCAAAAGTTTATCGATCTGTACATATCGACAAATTATTCAAATTTTTTCTCCGATTTCTGTGGTCCTTGTTCCCGTGTAATCAAAATGTTTGCATGCTTTTGTTTACGTTTACAAACGCACTTTTATTACATTTTATATTGTAACTCGGTATTTGTAAAAATATTAAAAAAGCTACGCCAATTTTTTCTTGCTTCTGTTTTGTATTAATCAACAGTTTCGACTGCATGAGTAACTGAAACAGTTTTGTGAATTTGCCTGTTTCCAGAAATAAGAATAAATTCACCAGATAATCATGTTTTTTACATATGTATTATTCTCCCAACGGCTCAGACATACTTGTAAATTCTAGATTAATTTGCATCCGCTTTCAAATGGCGGGACGGTATTGAAGTTATGCGTTTTCAGGATGTCGGTTGTTTGAGAACGGGCTGTAGCAGGCACATCCGGTGCGCTGTACCGCTCAGCATGACAGCCCCGAATGCCCGTGTAGCGGGTGTGCGGGAATTCGTTTCGGGCTCATTCGCAGTAATAATCTGGGTAATCAATAGTTGACTGGCCAAAGTCCGTCTGACGACGACCATCCCGACGTTACGCGTCCCACAACGTATTTTTTAATGACTCACACTTTGCAGATGAGCATTGTTTGTGCAGCAGCTGTTTGTGGAATGTAAAGTGTTTTCAACAAGCTATTCACAGGGGCAGCGCAGGATCCCTGAACCCGGCTCAAATTAAGTGTCTTATCAGTTAACATTGTACGTTTTCATTTAGACACGTTTTGACTTTATCTGTTTATCGCAGTCCTTCAAATTTCGTCACCGGCCCAGAAGCCGCAAGTTGGCAGCGAACACGAAGGCAATACGTATGACTCACACTATATACCCCGTTAACAGATGGTAGCAAAGGACCGCTCCTAATTCGACATCCGGTGTCGTGTCTCGTTTGACGGTAGTACAACGTAGTCGGGTTTTTCCTTGCTTTATTCATTAGCGAGTGCGATAAGCTTGCAATTACTCGTAATTTTCTCGGAAATTGCACGATAATCAAGTGCACACTGTTCGTATAGATTTGCATGGGTTGTCATTTCCACCCACTGCTAGGCACTCGCAATCGTAGCGATTGTGTTAGTTTCCGCAGATATGCTGTACAACCGTATAAGGATTATTTTGCTGATGTTCAGTTTTGCATATAGCGCCTACTTCGCAAAAGGTACTGGTATATTTGCAATTGCAGTTACCAATCGACTTGTGTCGTTAATTACAGCAGATTTGGCGTATTTTTCATAAATATGGATATGTCAGTTTAATGTGGCATAATATTATTTAATTAATACTGAATTTCTACCAGTAGCAGCTTATACAGTACATTTGCACATTAGCTCAGACACTGTCCCATTTAGAATGGCCCATCAGAATTGGCGAAGAACGAATATTTGGTAACGTTTCCGTTGTTCAACATCCCGCGTTAATTACCGCGGATGTCGGTAATGGAACCGCACCGATTAATGCATCATGTCCAGAAATTGTTTCGCGTGCCGAGTGGAACGCCAGGGATCCGGTGTATAATAACGAAACGGAGAGTAAAGTCTTTCTCAAACTCCCACTGCACAATATGGTGTACACGCAAACCTACACCGGTACCACGGCACACGGGACTTGTACCGATCGGGAATCCTGCAAGTTAATCGTCAAAGCCATACAGAATGATCATATGGGCTTCGGCACATCCACGGATAAATTCGCCGATATTGGCTACCAGTAAGTACCACAACAAAGAAAGTGTCGATTACTCAAAATCTCTTCCTGCGGCAAGTTGTACTGGTAGAATCGCTGTTGTCTAACAGAAACAATTGTTAAACGTCCTTATTGTCTCCATGTCAGGCGATGCCACTGCTAAGTGTTCGCCGTATTAGTATACTGCTTTCGTGTTCGTATTGCAAAGTATTATAATTTAACTTTAAACAGTTCAGTTAATTACAATTTAACTTTTACAGTTCAAACTTTTTAATGTAAATTGTACGTATTACTACATCATTGTAAACATCATTATTGTAGCTTCGTAAGCATTAGTATCTTGAAGAATCTTTCTTCCTTTTAGCTTCCTAATTGGAGTAGACGGTTCGATATTCGAGGGCCGAGGATGGCTCGTCAGAGCCGCCTACTATAAACAGTACAACGACCAGGGATTCGGCGTCGCCTTTCTTGGAACCTTTCCGTTAACTGGTGCGTGATCGCTGCTTTACCCGTCGAATGCTATTAAATTGTCCGATATCATTACATGTAGATTATGCTTGTAGAGCTAAACCAACTTAACCAATCACTTTTTAAACATTTTCCTGATTACTGTAAATTAAAACGTGATTCTCTGTTTCATTGGCCTCGTCGAAATTTTTTTGATTTCTAGTTGTGTAAGTACAAAAGTGTTACCTTGTAGGTACCAGCGTCGCACCCTTAACTTACGAAGCGATCCTATCAGCGCACCAGTTGTTGCGCTGCGCCATTTCCCAGGCATATCTGATCTCACCAAACTACACGCTAGTGTCGTTGCGGTTAAGCCCAACAGTTGGTCAATACATTGACAACCCAGATAGTTTCCCGCATGATTCACCGTACGAGTCGCACACTCCCTATCCACACTTTCAACTAGCCTTAGAATTAGACTAATGCAAATATCGTATCCGTCTGCGGTTGTTGTGTTGTACTACCGTTACATATGCCGCTTTACAGGACGGACGCTCCAGCACTTAAGCCAGCCGAAGTTGCTGCTATATCCATTGGCTGTAGTATCGCTTTGGCTTTTGGTATCGCTCTAGCGATCTCCAGCTGGAGGAAAGCCCGGATTTCCACACTGCTCCCTGATGAAGTACGTTTTAGTACAGTTAGAAAATCATATGAAAGGGTAGCCAGTTTGTTCACAACTATTCACCATTCCACGCTACTTTATCGGTGCTGCCTACCTTTTTCCGGGAAAAGTAGCGGAAGCCACTTTTGCAATAATTCCCATAGTCTCCAAGGCCAGAGGATGGGAAAAATAACGATCAGTTAGTTCCTCGTAGTTGCGCCTGTTTCGTTCTTCCGCGTTTTCTTCTGGCGATCCCGCTACTTTTGATGTACCGGTGATGTATGATATCATATAGCGAATGTGTCGCGAATACTAAGTATGGGGAATGTGGCTCGAATAGTTGAATGTTATTGTTTCGCGTAACGCACGTGGTGCAAATTAGACGCATTGGAAGCTGTGCCTGTGGCAGCCTGCACCGACCGGTGGGCAAGCTCTGCAGTGTTCCGTGAACCGTGGTGCCACTTACCGTACTGTCTGGGTGTAAACCATGTAGCGCAACGGTAGTTGTACCCTAAAAATCTTTCAACTTCTTTCCAGGAGCCACTGGTGCCCACTACAGGCGACACTCCAGAATATCAGTCGCTTGATCACGGACCTATACATCCCCGATCTTTGGGGACTTCGACCGACGGAAGCGTACGTATTTAAAGAAGCGTCGTTAAGTGCCGCTTGCGTGATCCTGGGCAGTGCGTAGTGGACAATTTTACGCTAAGGATTGTACCACGATTGAATGAGACACTAACAGAACACTAACAGATGCTCTTGCAGGTGGACGCTTATGAAACCCTTGGCAGCGACTGTCTGTACCGATACTCACTAAGCGAAAAGATTGGAGGCGGATCATTTGGTACCGTGTACAAGGCACGGATTACGCACCGTGGAACCTATAGTGGCCAAGAGGAAGCGGCAGTGAAAGTTCTACACATTCAGAATTTAGATGAAATGGAAAATCCCACCGGACAGTTCGGAAAATTCAAGGACAAATGGAAGATGCTGATCGAATTCAACTGTGAAAATCTGGTAGCGTACCACAAAATTACCATTAGTCAAACAGAGACCGGATCTTTCGTGGAGATTCTAATGGATTACTGCAATGGTACATTTTTGTAAACTTAGATGATAATGTTGTAGTGCAATTTTGTACTATTACAGGTCGCGATATGGAGCAGTTGTTATCCAGAATAAAATCCAGTCATACACTGTTAGATCGAGCAACCGCACTGTGTTACGCACTGCAGATTGTTAATGGCGTGGATTACTTACACCAGCGACAACTGATGCACGGCGACTTGAAACCTGGCAACATCTTCGTCAGGTACCATACAGACCGGCATTATGCGGTAATTATCGGCGATCTGGACTGTCTTGTGCATATGTCGCATAATACCATTAGCGCCACTCATCGGACTAATATTCTGGGGACAGCGAAATACATGTCACCCGAGCGCGTGCACTGGGATTGTCATGACGAGCTGCAGATTCCCAGCCGCAAAGCGGATATCTGGAGTGTTGGTTGTATTATGCATGATTTGTTTGATTATTCCTGCGGAATTTTCATGCGAATGTTTCACAAAGCCGGCTCACGGCCGGAAGAATCCGAGACATTCCTAGTGGAGAAGAACACGGAAGCCCAGGTCATCATTATGAGGATTATGAACGGGTATGTTCCGTTCGTCAGCAAAATGCTGCCACCGGAATTGTCCAGTGTGATCAGTCGCTGCTTGATTGTGGCCAGTAACGAGAGGCCTTCTGCCGCGGAACTGCAGAACAGTCTTCTGGCACTGCTGGGTCATATAACAACTCATCGCGATCCAGCTTTTGTCACCCAAAAGGACGTTATACGGCACTGCGTATGTGGAAAGCAGTTATACCAATCCGAATATGGAACTAGTCATTAACGGGTTTAGGTAATGAAGCTGGGTTGCTTAATGCAGCACTTAAAAAGTTTAAGCACTCAACCCGGCGCCACAGTCCTATCAAAATGCAATTTTTGTCCTTTTGTTATTCTCCATTTGCATCTGTATTAAAGTAACTGTATGGGTTCTCGTTGCATGGATTTGGCATTGTGAAGTCAATTTTAATTTTTTAAAAATTTTGCTGCTCTTGCTCCCTCTTCCAGAATTTGTGGCATGTGGCGCAAAACTGTTGGAGCCAAGACAATAAGTAACTGACAAACGTTAACACAGATTGCAGTTCGTATTTTATCGATAAGTAAAAGGGTACAAATAAAAGGTACACCTCTTTTAAAACAACATCATCTGAACGCATTTCCCGATATCATGTATTGTTTAAAGGAATGATGAATCGAAGCATCGGACGCCAATAAAGCAGGTTCGAAAACTAAGCGGAAATATGTTAACACTGGAAATTCAGTACAAGCCGCTATTCTCAGGCTTATTCAGGACCAAGAACCGCTTGACTTTACGGTTGCTTTCTCAATCAGCTCGATGGTACCGCAAGCAAACCTAATGGCGAGACGACGACAATCACCAACGAACTTAATGGCAAATCGGCGGCTTGGTAACCGTTGTGGTTTGCGGTGCACGGAATGTGTGATTTGCGGTGCACTGGAAGCGTGATCGTATAATTTTATTTTTTTTTAAGGTCATTATAAGCACGAAGACCAAGCAATGGTTATTTCGCTAAAGATTTGGTGCTTTCCAGTGCGGTAAAGATAAAACATTTAACAATTTTAGGTATGGTAATTTAAAAAATAAATATTATAAAATATTTCGGACTGCACTACCATATTATGTATAAATTATAATTAGAAGAATGCTTAAAAAGACCAGTTGTATAACATTTAAACAGTTTCTGCAGCCGAGAATCTTTCTGCTTGTCGAATGGAAAAAATTTTATAGTGCGTGGTAGGTTAAATTAGCTGCAAAACAATATAAGTACTTGTACAGACAAACATACTTTAAAAATGTGTGATAAAAACGAAAACATTTTATCACAGGATTTGGAGAGAGATTTGAACTCTAATTTTGGTGAAAACCGTGAACCGTCAAGAGCTGCTGTCATATTATGGAACCGTTACTTGACTGGGCTGCGGGCAATGTCTCACTGACCACAACCTACCCGAAGTGAAACGTCACACAACCACATAAATTTTAACTGTATACTTGAATGAGTTATGCAGCAGTTTCTAGTTCGGTGTAAAATCATGTAAGCAGGAAGCTAGAGGAAGGTACATATATGTATGCTACGTAATTGTTTCACCATCCTGCGGCAGAAAGCTCACACACTCACACAGATGTCAGATCAGTTTAGTAGTGGATGTACGAGTATTTTACATTGATGAGATAAAACGTAACAATAAAAACACGCCCGCACTCTATATTTCAAGGCACATCCATACTTTATTATTCATATTCTCCCTTCCAGTCCGGCACAAATAAAAAAGACGTGCATCAGAAAGATTGGAGGTCAGCTGAATGTTTACATTTCAGATAAGCTTTGCTCTGTCTTGGTCCGGCATAATCATTCACATTTTGCTGCCGGTCCAGAAGTCGCAGGCTGGCTTTTTTACAGCCTAACTGGAAACAGCCAACACGAAGGCACTACGTATGACTCACTCAAAACCGTTAACAGATGGCAACAAAATTATAAATGACCGCTCCCCAGTTAGCATCCGGTGTCTCATGTCTGATGGTTATACAACGTACTAGCAGCCGGTCTTTTTCCTCCTTGTTTCATTAGCAAACATGATAAGGTTTACTTAATTTCCGTTTTCGCAGAATTGTCACGACAGTCAAGGGTAAATTTAGCAGTCACCTAATATGCTGTGATAAGTTTACATGTACTCTAAGCTCTTGTTCTGGTTTTACTACTTTTGTGGTTCCGCATGCAGCCATGCTGGCTAATTGCATAAGAATTATTTCATTGACGTTCGCTTTTGCTTATAGCGGCTACTCTGCAAAAGGTGTTTTATCTCTCGCATACATCTGCCATAGCGATGCCATCCGCCATGTAATGCAGTTCATTATAAATATTTCGGCATTTTTATGATCAACCAATTAAGCGTTTTAACGCTATAATTATTTCATTTATCAAGTCTTAATTTTGCTATACGTTAATTATTTATTTAAGAAAGTACTGAAATGCATTGTCATTATTTTGTCTTTTTTATTAATTTCCTTTATTGTTAGGTTGGCCCAACAAAACTGTCGGTAATGTTTCGGTCATTCCATATGCTACGCTAGCTATGACAGGAGCGAATAATGGAACGGTGCCGTCCAACGCATCATGCCCAGCGATTGTTACGCGTGCTGAGTGGAACGCCAGGGATCCGATATATAGCAACGAAACGGAAACCAAGGTATACCTGAAATTTCCGCTGCCAAACATGGTGTACACGCAGACGTACACCGGCACCTCGCTGCATGGGACCTGTGCCGATGTTGAATCCTGCAAGTTTATCGTCAAAACCATACAGAACGATCATATGGGCTTCGCGCCGGCATCCACTAATAAACTCGCCGACATCTCCTACCAGTAAGCATACAGCAACGGGAGCATAAATTATTTACCAAACTGTTTTTTGCAAACCGTGTGGCATTAGTAAAGTCGGTGCGGCGAAAGCTGAAACTCTAAGTCTGACTCTGAATGCTTAAAGTTTAAGTCTGAATCCTAAAAGTCTGAGTGCTTAAAGTGTAGTTAAGTTTAAATCTGAATCCTAAAAAGTGTGAATGCTCAACGTACCGTACTTAAACTCAAAGTCTTAGCGCTCAGGCTCACATTTGCAGTTTAATTAGATTCAGAGTCTTGTCGCTCAGAGTCAGAATGAGTGTATCAGAATCCCAGGCCAGTCGCAGTTGATCTTGATGCTAGCCCGGGGTCTGGTTTCCACGTATGATATTTGGCTTAAACCTGATACTGTGTTTATCGAAATTTATATCATTTTTTTTAGTTTTCTAATTGGAATAAACGGTTCAATATTCGAGGGCAGAGGATGGTTCGTCGGAGGCGCTTACTACAAACCGTTCAATGACCAGGGGTTTGGCGTCGCCTTCCTTGGAACCTTTCCACCAGCCGGTACTCTCATTGCTTCAGTTGTACACGTTTCAGCAAATGCTCCAATGTCAAATTTCAGTAATTTAAAATTCTTTTGGTAATTACAGAGCAGTAAGAACAATTTGAGGTATTGCATTTCAGGTACCAGCGTCGCACCCTTGACTTACGAAGCGATCCTAGCAGCGCATCAGCTGTTGCGCTGTGCCATTTCCCTGGGACATCTGATCTCGCCAAACTATACGCTACTGTCGTTGCGTATAACCCCAACCGTTGGCCGATATATTGACAATCCGGATACGTTCCCGCACGATTCACCGTACGGTGTTTTCCACGGTTTTCTCGTACACTTACTTGTGTACTGCATAATAAATTACTATGCACAGTTTTATAGTGTTTTCTAATATTAATATCTAAAATATCGTTGATTTGCAGGACCGACGCTCCAGCTCTTAAACCGGAAGAGACAATTATTATATCTTTTGGCTGTAGTGTAGCGCTGGCATTGGGCATTACCCTGGCGGTATGCGGTTGGAGGAAAGCTCGCATGTTCAGGCTGCAGCCTGACGAGGTGCGACTGAGTTCTTGAAAAATTCAAAGCTATATAATTTTGATAAGTTCATCACTACGAAGTATCTTTACGCGGGCGGCGTTATGAGTACAGTAAAACCTGTGCACTTTGAACACCAACGGCTCCATTAAGAGCGTCCAAACACGTATCTTTCACTCTGCATCGGCTGATTGGTGAAACTTAATTTGCAGGAACCACTGGCACCCGCCCTCGAACGCGCCATGAACTATCACTCACTTGACCATGGACCGTTACATCCGCGTACCATGGGGAATTTAACCGGCAATGCCGTACGTAATAAAAGTACAACGATTGATTCTTTTTTTGCAGCTGTCAACTCATTTTTAATCGAAAGTCTTAAGACGATCAAATGAGGCTGGGTGTGTGTCTAAAAATGTGTGTCTGACAATTGTGAGAATTGCGGTACTACCTACGACTAGGCAACTGCTATCAGAGCAACCTGAAAGCTCCCACAGCAAACAAACAAGTGGTGCGCGATTTTAGTGCTGTAGCCGCTGGATGAAATGGCACTTCAAGTTCAGCGTCTGGTGTACGGAAAACGACGCACACGCTACTCGGTATTCTACGTAAAGTGTGCGATGCCGGGCAGGGGACAGGCAGTGGCCGGATGATGGCCCGGATCTAAAAGCGGTGCCGTTTCATCCAGCGGCTACGGTAAACTCAGTACACTGACGTTAAGAATTCAAATTTAGCAAACAGCTACAGATAAATATTAAATGTCTTACAGATAAACGTTTATGAATCACTGGGCAGTGACTGTCTGTACCAGTACTCATTGAGCGAAAAGATTGGCGGCGGATCGTTTGGTACTGTGTACAAGGCACGCATCACGCACCGTGGAACCTATACTGGCGACGAGGAAGCAGCCGTCAAAGTTCTGCATATCCACAATACGGATGACGTGAACATCCCCACCGAAGAATTCAGGAAATTTAGAGACAAATGGAAGATGTTGCTTGACTTCAACTCTGAACATTTGGTAGCGTACCACAAAATTTCGATTAGCGGAACGGAAACCGGGTCTTTCGTAGAGATTCTAATGGATTACTGCAGTGGTAGGTTGTGGCAGTTTGTATAATTTTCATAGGACAGTCTTGTTACAATTTGGCTGTGTAACAGGTCGCGATTTGGAGCAGCTGCTATCCAGAATAAAAATCAATCATACGCTCATCGAACCGAGGAACCGTGCTGCGATGCGGACTGCAGATTGTTACGGGTGTGGAATTCTTACACGAACGACAACTGATGCACGGCGATGCCGCATAACACCATTAGCGCCACCCATCGGACCAATATTTTGGGAACCGCGAAATACATGTCACCAGAACGCGTGCACTGGGATTGTCATGGCGAGCTGCAGGTTCCCAGCCGGAAAGCCGATATTTGGAGTGTCGGTTGTTTCATGCACGATCTATTCGATCACTCATGTGGAATTTATACGCGAATGTTTCATAAAGCCGGCTCGAGGCGCGAAGAACCGGAGACATTTGTCGTAGAGAAGAATACTGAAACCCAGGTCATCATCATGAGGATTATGAACGGCTATATTCCGTTCGTCAGTCAAACGCTGCCACCGGAATTATGTAGTGTGATCAGTCGGTGTCTGGTTGTCGCCAGTAACGAAAGGCCTTCGGCTTCCGAGTTAAGGGAAAGTCTACTGATGCTGTTGGGACACATAATGACGCACCTAGATCCAGCGTTCATTAGTCAGAAGGAAGTTATGCGTCCTTGTGTATGCGGCAGACAGTTATCGGAAAACGGTTTTGATCTTAATTCTTAATTGTTAATGGCTGATCGTACTACAATCATTGTTGTACAGTAGCAGTCCTAAAAAGTCGTGCACGCGGTCAAGCTCCGCAGTTTATTTTTCTTTATTCTGCCAGATTGAGCATCTATATATATACATGTAGGTATCTATAGCCAGAAATCAATCGTTTTACTGTTAATTATCCATCGGAAACTTTTACTTTATTTTTGCTTCCGGTGAAAATTTTCTGACCCGTGGCATATAGCCACTATGGGGAGTACGGTAATTGTCTCAAGATTGCAGCACTTTTTACCTTTTACTTCTTCTTTACTTTAACGGTTAATCCACCGAAGCAACTTTTCTGTCAATGTGAAAGGAGTTGTTTGAAAGAGGCTTGTGATTTCATAGCTTATTATTAAATTTTTGATTTCTAACTCGACACATGCAATGCAAAACTCAGAAAATAGACCATGGCCAAATTGCGCGAGGTGGCAGTTTTTTAAATAATTCGTCTCTACAGACGCTATACAGTGCTTCTGATAAAAACGGATTTCGTTAATAATTCGCACGCTTGTATTTGTGTATGTACATAGTTTGTTGCACTTGAAATCTTGAAAACCGACAAAGTAGGTCACAAATTGTACGTGCTCAAGCAATCTTTTTTCTGAGTCAAAGGTTTCGTGCGAATAGTGGCCTGCTGGTGCAGTTGACGGGAAGAGATCTGCGTTAGCTGTATCGGAAGCCTGTAATTATGAAACATGATGACAGTGGTAAACGCCTGTGAAGACAAAGACAGATATGAAAACAATGATGGATGCACACTAGGTATGTAATTAGAAATTTCGAATTAGCCGTTATTGTTCCGCTGTAGTAGAAGTAGAACAGGAAACCACTTGGCTTCTCGATGAAGACGTAAGTAGCGCAGCGGTTTCGCCGCAATCCATTCGAATATCTTAGAAGTAAAAATTGTTGAGGCATGGTTTACTCCAGCTGATGGAGAGTCGGCGATTTTGTAGTCGTTGTAAATGTGGTCCAACTGGATACGCGGTTTGCTTTCATTTCCGATGCCCCACATGTTGGCTCGTTAACAGAGTATTCGCTGTGTGCATAGTAATTAATCCGTTATGTGCTGAAAGGAAACGGATCCGCATGACAGTTGTTTAAACTGGATGGTAAAGATCCGCTTTGCCAAATTCACCGCTTTTGAATAAATCCTCCAAGGAAATCCATCTAACGATACACCTGGCCAGCTTGCACTTGGAGACGCAAATTTTTATTGCTTCGCCACCTGGAACGATACCAAGCAAACTCGCAGCTGCAGTGGATATTGCGCAGAAAAGTGCGGAAAGATGGATCGAAATTATATCTTAGATTGTCCAGCAGGGCTTTCAGTGACAATATCCGAAGGTCGAGTAAGTCAGACTTAGTCAGTTAACGAGCCCACCTCCATTGTTTTTATAGTGTTGTTGTAAAATACAATAACCCGTAGCCGCTTCGAAGTCGCAAAGTCCTGCTTCTCAATAACCAAACTGGGACAGTTGTACAGCTGAAAATCTAGCATACTGGTAAAATTCAAATTGTTCAACCTCGAGGTCACGCGCTCTGTGATGCAGCTACGTAAAAGTAGTTTTACGACTTCGGTTTGTATAGACGCAAATGGATATTTAGCGATAAGATGCTCTTCTAAATCCATGGAAACGAATCGCAATTGTTTTTCAGCCATATCCAGTGCCATCCGCTGCAGCACGGGAACCGATGCGTTGGACTGGCAGGCAATCCGGAAGCTGGTTCGCTTGGTGCAGTTGTAGTTGCCGGACCGGCAGTAGCGATTGAACTTAGCGCCGCACTCTTCTTCCGTCATTTTTTCGGTGGTGAAGATGGGTAAATCGTTGTCGCTATCTTTGGTTTCTTCAGCAGCGCGGGTAACGTTTAGTGGACACTGGTAGGCAATCAGAATTTTAGCCACATCGGTCGGACTCAGGCCTGTGGTTTGTCCGATACTTATAGTGAAGGATTTTCTGGGTAGCATGACTGGAGTCTGATCAGTGGAGCCACCAAACGAATGGAGTGTTGAACGGAGTGATAGTCGTACCTCGTGACAAACGTGTACATCGATGAATTTATCTCTTATTAATTGCTGAGATTAGATTAGGTCGAAATATTGTTCACCGTGAATGCTGCCCTTGCGCACTTCAACGTACCTTGTGCCAAACGTTTTTGTTCGTATTCAATGCCCAGGGCACGCATTTTTAGGCCTTGTTTGATAGACGGCTGGAAGCATGCCGGGGCGCCCAAGTTAATTACTCGAAAGCCGCCGAGTCGGCCAATCTGGAACAGAATCTAACGGAAAAATAGTGCTTTCGGCAGATAGTTACTATAAACGTGCACGTGTACTGCATTTACCTAACTTATCCTTTCAGTAGTTCCTAAAATATCAATGGGAACGTCTGATAACGACGAGTGCTTGATACTGCCTAGGGAGTTCCTGACTTACCCTTGGATTAGCGTAGCTGTATTTGCTTCTTACTGCTAAAGTGTGTGCTTGACGAGAAGAAAAGGTAATCAAGTTCGTCCGTTCTGGATTGGAGCAAAATGCACCCCTTGGTCGCTCTTTCCATTGTGCGAATAGCTTTCATAATCACTCGCCGCTTTGATGACCTATGCAAGTCAACCTCAAATACAGGTGTTTTTGGTGGTTTAAAAATTAACCGGATGTTTGCTCACGTTTAGCATTCTGCCCAACAGAATGGGCGCTTTCATATAATTATGTAACTGTTTCATGGTCAGGTATTATGCAAATGTTTAAACACTTTTATAGCAGCGTCGGAATGCTAATCGGAATTTAACAAATATTTACTGCCTTTCGTCTCCGGTACGTACGTACGGGTCGGTACATGTTAATGCGTGAAAAACACTGAACAAAAAGCAATGAAACATTGGGAAAGTAGGGTCACGGACATTATTGTATCACGAACATACGTATTGTTTCAATTATTGATAATAGTAAGTAAGACAGCAAAAATATTGAATACCATTAGGTTGCCACAATATCGTTAAGATCAGGTTTATAATAGACCTTTTATAATAATGTTGAATCGCAGCCAGCGACAGAATGAAAGCAGATGAAAAGTTATGGTTGAAGTATGTACGTCATAATCAGCAACTCCAAAGCACTCGATCAATTATCTAAACAGCCGCTTTTCCAAAACTGTCGATGAAAAAATTGACAGGCGCCGCAATCACCAATCAGCTCGCCAAATGCTAAGAGGACTGTTGGATCCTCTGCAATGGATGATGAGTCGCTGACTTAGTGACAGGTGCAACTTCGGTCGCAGTGTTCGCTCTGCGTCCTTGGACATTTGGCGCATCGCAGGTCGGTTCATTGACAGAGTATTCAGTTTGCGTGTAATAATTAATCCACTCTGGGCCGAGTGGAAACTGGTCCGCGTGACAGTTGACTGGGTGATAAAGTTCCTCTTTGCCAAATTCAGCGCTTTCCAGCCTGCCGCTACTCTCACGTCCGTCAAACGAATACACTTCACCGACCTGAGCGCGGAGACGCAAATTTGTATTGGTTCGCCACCAGGCACGATACCAAGCAAATTCGCAGCTGCAGTGGAGAGCACGCATGAAGTTTCGGAAAGATTGGTCGAAATTATAGTATCGTTGTTCGTCTAGCAGCGCTTCCAGTGACACAATTCGAAGATCGGGCAAGCTAGCTAATGAGTCCAGCTGCATAGTTTCAATTGTACTGTTGTAAAATAAAATTATCCGCAGCCGCTTGGAAGCCAAAAAATCTCGTTTCTCAATGATCAAATTGCGACAGCCGTAGAGCTGAAAATCCAATAGGCTGGTAAAGTTCAAGTCACTTAACCTCCAAGTCACGCGTTCTGTGTTGCAGTTACGCAGTTGCAGCTTGACGACTTGGATTTGTAAGGGTGCAAAAGTGTATCTTGCAATAAGTTGCTCTTCTACGTCAATGGAAACTAACCGCAATGGTTTCTCCGCCATATCCACCGCCATCCGCTGCAGGACGGAAACCGGTGCGTTTGACCGGCAGACAATTCGGAAATCGGTTCGGGTGGTGCAGTTGTGCACTGTGGTGATGTCGGATTGACAGTGGCGATTGAATTGCGCACCGCATTCTTCGTCCGTCATTTGTTCGAATGAGAACAACGGAAAATCCTCATCGTGAGCGTAAAGTTGCTTACTGTCGCGGATGATGTTCAGTGGGCACTTATAGGCAATCATAATTTTAGCCACGTCTGTCGGGCTCAGGCTTTTCATCCGTCCCATATGTACCGTTAGCGCTTTTTTGGATATCATGCCAGGACTTCGACCTGTGGTGCCAGCGAAGGTAGAATACTCTCGGATGGAATGGTAGTCGTACTTCGCTCCGAAAGTGTACATGGACGGATTTATGCTGTACAAATCGTCGTAGAAGTCCTTATACTCGCTTTCCGACTCGCTGATATTGCGCACTTCGACATACTGGTCCCGATCAAAGCGTTTGTGTTCGTAATCAAAGCCCAGTGCATGCATAACATGGAACTGGATGACGCCCAAATCGAAGCATGATGGCTGACTCAGGTAAATTTCTTGATAGCCGCCGATTCGTCCAAGGTCTGAATAGCATCTAAAATGAGCGCTCGTTTGCCATTCTTATGCCGGTACACTGTATTTCTTATAACTACCGTAGTTCCAGCAACAATTTTCAGAATATAAAAATATGATAGCATCGAATGGAGGCGGTTGTTTGTTAACATAATTATATTACTATTGGTCCCACTAGCACGCAGCCAGTTGTGTTTTGGATATGGAAGAATGAAGGAGAAAACAATTTACAAATGAGATTTTAGGCATATTTCAGAAATTTAAGACTGGGAAGGGGAGATTAATTACGGAAAAAGTTTGAATATGCAGAAATGCAAAGAAATGTAGAAAAGCATGATATTAGTATCTGTTACTAAGTTAGGTAAGAAGAACCGTATAATATTAAGTTAACTATTAACATACGTATTAAGGTAAGAACGTCAAAGAAAAGCGTAACATTACTGTAATATTTTATGTGCTGAAAGCTGCCAAGTTGTGAAGTTTTTATTTAAAAGGGCTCTAGAATTTTCTACCCGTAGAAGTTTTTAAAGACGCTTCGCAATGGAAGTACTGGCAGCCGCACTTCGCAAACTACTGGAAGTTTTGAAACTTTTGAAAACTTTACAGAAGAGAAAAGATTTTGTTTTTAAAATCACAGCTTAGGAAGGAACCTGGGATGCTGGATTTTTTAAATATGCCAGCGGTTTGAAAATATAACTAATGATTTGCGTAATAGAAAATAAATTCCAAAAAAAGACCTAAGAGCAAGTGCACGTATATGAATCTATAGATAGATGCCGTTACTGACATACGATTGGATTGTTTCTGCATGAGCATAGCTGCTTGAGGAAAAGTAAAGATAATCAAGTTCGTCCGTTCTGGGTTCGAACAAAATGCATCTTTTGGTCGCTTTTTCCATTGTGCGAAGAGCTTTCAGAACAATTTGCCGCTTTGTTTGATCTGTACAAGTAAATTAAGTCGTTGAAATCGATCTGGCAGAAATTTATGACACCTTACATAAGTCACATTAATACAGATGTACAAGTGCAGTACATTATTACAGAAATTCTCGTACCAAGTATCTATTCGAGTGAAACTGTGTTTGCCAAAAGAATAACTGAACCGCACAGGTAAACCGACCAGAAGTTAAAGCCCCGTTTAGCGGGTTGTCTGTTCTTGATGTAATAATAATAACAATAACAATAGAGAACTGCTGTCTTTAATTTATGCCATATCACTTGCTTATTTTGTGTGGAAACCGTCATAGGCACGCCCCCATCCCGTCTTGTTTCCATGTTTATTTCAGGCACCCTTTGCCGCATCCGGTTTATTATGGGCACTCATTTCAATGAAATGAAATACGCGTGAGCGCAGCATTACTTCGGTATTTCGGTACTGTCATCATTTTGATATTTTATTACTGATAATTTGCCATAATAATTTTAATAGGTGCTAGCTGGGATCGTAAAAGCTATTCCATCTAAATCATTAGTAAGACCACCAGCCGGCACCAGGTGTAGCGCAAGTTTATAAAAGCGATGACAAAGACTTGGTGAGAAAAAGCTAGTAAAACACCTTCACTTTATCAGAAAAGAAAGGGCAACGCAAGTCCGATACTCACAATCAGTTCAACTTCGAGACAAGTTAGGTATATCATCACGCATTTCTTCGGTTCCGGTGCCGCACTTAGTATAATTATGTACAATGAACTGCTAACTCTGTATTCACCAAAGATACGACTGAGAGAAGCCGGTTGGCAGACTTTCCGTAGGCCAAGAGAATCGCACGATGTCTCAAATGATCAAGAAAGTTGAAAGTATGTACATGTATTCGGCAAACGAAATCGCATACGCTTGAACCTTCTCGCCCTGTCTTGATTAACAACTCACTCTAAATTGCCCGACATGCAAAATCGTCTACGAGAAAATGTGATTCACGAGAAAACCATCAACTGCAGCTGAATAATTATCACTTGAAATTATTCAGGGTGCCTATAATACTGGGGGTGGTCGTGGGGAAGGATGCCCGTAACTATAACGATACCCTATTTTCTGTTAATCGACGGCATTATCGTGCGCATGGGTGCCTTGTTTACTTAATGGTGTACCGTGCGTATACAAAGTACAATATTCCCACAAAAAGTACGAAATACCTATTGTAATAATCACTTTAATAATATAGGCGCAAACGTACCGGTACGTTGCTCCTATGACAGTAACCTTGTTTGCCGCAAGTCGCGACACTTTCTTGTACTCACTGAAGGAGCCGCTCATCTCATAAGGGATGGCGGCAGGGTTTGGCCATAGTTTAGGTCTGCTTTTCGCAATAGCATTTGCGTCCGAAAAGTTTAGCGGTGAGTAGAAAATATCTGAAAAAAGAATACTTTTGTTACAGCCAAGAAATCCAGTCACCGGTAATCTCAAAAATATAACGCTGCCAACGGATAGAAGCAGCTCAAAGTATCTGCAAAAGGTCACTGGAGCTCGAACATCAGAAATATTAGTGCTATCCATAAGCAGTGGCCCAGTAATTTCAAGTTTCACTATAAATTGCTTATTAATGAGTAAATACAACTGAATATACCTTCTGTTATTTCCATGTCTTCATCGTCATTAGCAACTGCGAATGCTGGATTCAAAAAGGCTGTAGCAGCTAAAATGCCGTACGTATAAAATATTGTATTCTGCATCCTAAAAGCGTTGTAAAGGTCTTAAACTGTGTGCATTAAGGAAGAAACTAAAAATATTGTCAGAAACAATATGCTAAAGCTAACAGTAATAAAACAGCAGCGATCTGTTGAAGCGATTCTGTCTGCTTAAAAACAAGCGTTGATAGTAAAAACCGGTAAAGCGTTGTGAATGCGAAGTAAAGGGTTGGTTATCTGACACATAAAAACGTTTTTTTCAATAATAACGCTGTTATTGCCATTATTGCCTGATGCAACACGATAAAACTGTTGCAAATTACCCCGGGCATATGCGAACAAATTTTTAATAACCGGAACTGACGACATTTCTCATGAAAATGAACCAGGTGCCATTAATTTTGTCTTCCGGAAACAACCTGTATGCCACATTAAACTTTCTGAACGTGTCCGAATAAGGGCACATATGCCCATCCGGAAAAACTTTGTGACAGCGCGCTGAACGTAAATGCGCCTCCGTTTTCGTCATCTACTGAAGCAGTTTCTTTGCAATGTGTATTACAGCATGAATAATTTTAATTTAAAATTGTGCTTGAAAGGTTTCATTATTTAACTTCTGCACGAGAGTGCGGAATTGAATGTTTGTGTTGAAGAGAAGAAGAGAAAAAATAATGCAATGCAAAATTTTGGTTGAAACATTTGAAAACGACCGCGCAAGTTAGCAGTTCCTACAGCTTAGGAAAAAATGGTCGCATACCCAAAACATCTCCACATTCAGTACGAATGCAGCGCAGTGCACTGTACGACTGAGTTCAAAATATCCGTTTCGTACAAGTGCACTGCACCGCTTGCGTACAGAATGCTGGGTATGGGGCCATGCGACCATTTAGTCCTACATTGTACACGCATTCATTTCTTAGAGCGTTGTGTAAACCTGTGTTCTGTAGACTGGACACCGACAAAGAATCTTCGCGGGAAAATTCAGTCGCATAATTGACCGGCGCGGAGCGCATAGGCTGCGTAGCAAAGGTTTTTTACATAATCAAGACGAATACATCACCTGTGCGACGTGGCGTTACAGCGTTATGACAATCCACTTCCATATAAGAGGCCTTCGTAACCTTCGTAACGACATAACTATAGGTAACGAATAATACGCTCCGGTAGATCTATGGGTAATGTCATTTCATTCGTGGAGTTCATACCTCCATGTTTTTCACTGTCCAATAAGCGATTCTTCCCAAACGGAAAATAAGTTTGGCACGCAAGGAAGTGATTGTCGAACCGTGTGAATGTGATTTGGAATAAGTTACACACACTACTTCCGTCACATTTTATAGCATACGAGTAAAAGGTAATCCCGTCAGGATATATAGTTTGTTTTTTGGTTTGGCAACTTCACGTTCTGTGTTTGTAACTTGCAAGTAAACGTACAGGCTTTTATTAAGTGCACTTCTTGTTAACTTTTAATTTTTTTAGGTGTATACTTTTCGAATGTATCCACAACAAAATTCCTCAGAACTGAATTCCGATTGTTCGGTATACGCTATCCTTTTAAGCATACAAAGAATACGACTACTTTAATGCATTAGAAAATCGTACAGAGCTCAGAATTAATTAAATACGACAAAAATAGAGAAAATACTGTAAGTGAGCAAAAATGAGGGACATCCGAATTGTTATTACTACGGAGCGTTCCATACATAAAACAGTACAATTGCAGAATGCAGGTGACTTATGAGTAACACAAACGTTATTGGTATGAAGTATGAAGCATGAGGTATGAAGCACTACGGTTCAGAAGTCCGGTGCTTTACCGGTCTCGTAATTTGCTACCGTGGTAACAAACGATGAAGGCTTAACGATCGTTCTACAGTCGTAAATTTTCCATTAGTCGTTTTACTGCTGTTTTCGGACCACAGTCGCACAAAGCAGTGTTAAACTACTATTGCAATACGGTAGAATACCGTCTAACGATGGTCAGCACCATCGGTTTTCAAATCAAGTTTTGGCGTTGGGACCGATTCAAAACTCGTGACCCAAGGAAAAAAATATAAAACCGCTGATGAAACATTACAATTACTGAGTGGCTAGTTGAGATTATCAGTAACTCTTCCGCTGCTTTAGGACAAGGAATCGCTTTGTTCGTAGACGGAAAGGTAACTGGCACCACTTTACCCGTTGCTGGTTGCAGTTTTGATTGTAGAGAATGTTTTGATTCCATGCTCGTTTGTCCCATCGCATTTTGGCTCGTTAACTGAGTATTCGGTTTGCGTGTGGTAATTTATCCATGATGTACTGAAAGGGAATGGATCACTATTACAGTTAATTGGATGGTAAAGTTCGCCTTCCGCAACTTCTGGGCTCAAGACAACTCTGCTACCGGGATGTCCCTCGAACAAGTACACATCGCCAGCTTCAGCGCTGAATCGCAGATTTTTATTGGCACGCCACCAAGCACGGTACCAACCAAACTCACAGGCGCAGTGTAGTCTGCGCAGGAAGTTGCGGAACGATTGATCAAAATTATAATACCACTGATCTCCCAGCAGCGTTTCCAGCGATAATATCTGCAGGTCTGGCAAGTCAGCAAGCGATCCTAACTGCATGGCTTTTATAGTGGTGTTGAAGAAGAAAATTTCTCGCAGTCGTTTGGATGCCGAAAAATCCTGCTTTTCGATGGCTAGATTGCGGCAGTCGTAAATCTGAAAGTCCAACAGACTGGTAAAATTTAGATCCTTCAGCTTTGAGGTCATCCGCTCTGTGGTGCAGTTACGGATTTGCAGTTGTACTACTTGGATTCGTACAGGCACAAATGGGTATTTGGCAATAAGTTCTTCTCCGGCATATATGGACACCGGTCTCAGTGGTTTCTCCGCCATATCCAACGCCATCCTCCGTAGAACGGAAACAACGGAACGGAACGGGTGCCACTGATTGGCACACAATTCGGAAATCAGTTCGCATGGTGCAGTTGTCGAGTGCGGTAACGTCGGACTGGCAATAGTGGTTGAACTGTGCGCCGCACTCTTCTTCGGTCATATTTTCTCGTGAGAATAATGGAAAATCGTCATCAATCACGTGGGGCTGTTTACTGCCCCGTGTGACGTTCAGTGGGCATTGGTAAGCAATCATAATTTTAGCCACGTCTGCCGGACTTAGCTTTCTCCATCCTCCTAAACGTGCCGATAGTAGCTTTTTGGGTATCATGGCAGGAGTTCCATCTATAGAGCCGGAAAATGTATATAAATGTTGGATGGAGTAGTAGTCGTACTTTGTTCCGAACGTGTCCATGGACGGATTAATCTCATAGCAGTAACTGTAGGTTTCGCTTTCGATGCTGACTTGGCGTATTTCAACATACTGATCCCGATCGGGACGTTTTTGCTCGTAATCGAAGCCCAAGGTTCGCATTACTGCAAACTGGATGACAATTGGATCGGATGGGACTTTCAGGTAAATACCTCGGGAACCGCCGGTTCGTCCAACGTCCGAATAGAGGCCTCAAAGATACAAAGGCATTTCACGTATTGTACCGAGCGAACTGCTCTCTAGTACGTATAGGCTATAAGCGTAGCTTAATACACTTAATACATTACAACATCAAACTTTACCATCTAAGGACTTTCTAGTGTTCAGTTGTTAAGATCGCTGCCTCAGTCTTGTCACACACAACGTCTCCGAATTCCTTAATAATTTAATAATAAACCAAGACATTTTCGCAGAAGATATGCACAATCTATAGATATCAATACGATGTGCTCTGTATACTTTATGCGATAACTAATGCGTCCAATGGACTTTTTGAGCGGTAGCACGACAACTATATGACCTTCATTTTGATGACCGACAATTTGATGACCGACTTGTTGCTGACTACCACAACTTGCTGACCGACAAATCGCTGACCGACAGTTCGCTTTTCTGCAAACTGGCTGACCGACATCTTGCAGAAACTAACTTGCTGAACGACAGCTTACTTGTCGGTCAGCGAAATGTCGGTACTCGACAACTCGCTGACCGACAACTTGTAGAAGATGAAAACTTGCTGACCGGCAATTTGCTGACCAGTTCAACGCACATCAGTGATATTTACGCGAAAACGCGAATCTTCGTTGGTTTCATAAAAAGAAAGGACTACTATGACAGTTATAACTGAAATATAACTTTTTGCCATTTATTACGGCGTGTTAAGTTCACGAGTATGTTATTGTCTCTGCCAATATTAATTATTTATTAATAACTGTTAAAATGATTTCTAATTACACTGGTTTCTTAGGTTTCTTAGGTTTGTTAGGTTTCTTAGGTTTCATAGGTTTCATAGGTTTCATAGTTTTTTGCTGTTTCATAGATTTATGAAATGAAAATTTTCAGTTTTTATGAAATTTACACGTACGCGCTCGAGCAGAAAAATGGAGAAATGAACGACTGGAACTGCCAGATTGCTGTATAAGCCGTCAGCTGTTAATAGCAGGAGAAGTTGGTGTGGTATCCGATCATAATCGCCCAAACTGAGTTTTTCAAGGATTTGATTAGTAACAGACTAAATTTGTGGACCTGTGGTCAGCGAGTTGTCGGTAATTAAATGAAAGGTCGGTCAGTAGAATGTCGGTCAACGATTTAGTAGGTAAGCAAGTTGTCGGTAAACATTCTGTCAGTCAACAAAATGTCGTCAGCAAATTGTCGGTGTCAGCGAGCTGTCGTTCAGCGATTTGTTGTATCAACAAACTGTCGGGTCAACATTTTGTCGGTCAGCAAATAGTCGTCAGCAAGTTGTCGGTCAGCAAGATGACCGTCAGCGAGTTGTCGGTGTGCCTTTTTGAGCTGCGATTAGTAGTGTCGACGATGTTGCTGACTCACGAGTCGTCGCTGCTTGGCCGAAAGTGAAGGTAGTCAAGTTCGTAGGCTCTGGATTTGAAAAATATACATCCTCTGGTCCGTCTTTCCATTGTGCGAAGAGCTTTTAAAATCTCCTGCCGCTCTGATTGATCTGTAGAAGTATTTCAGATCGCTCAACTGCAATTGGCAGATATAAACGACGTACAATTACAGTATCGGGACCCATTGTCTGTAAAGTACGGTTATCCCCGATTATCGCTGTTACCATGTGGCCCATTTTAGTCATCGATAAGAAATTTGCACACTGGTCGACACAAAAAGTTACTACATTTGCACTCACTAAAGCTGTAGCTAATGTAATACGGGATAGCGGCAGGGTTTGGCCATAGTCTAGGCCCCGTTTTCGCAATGGCA